AAAACCCTCCTGGAATTGTCGCGATTAAAGGATCTACTTATCCGCAACTCAGTGCTTAACTTTACCCATTAACTAGGCATGATGGTATACACCCTTTCCTCCATGTCTACGTGAGAACCTAAAACAACTTTCACCACAGAAAATTATACTAAACCCATCAACACTGGAATGTGTATGAATGGTCAGATATAAGAATAGTGTATTAAACGCAATTATACTCAGAGCCCTTACTCCCATGCGCTGACTGGTATAAAATCTACAAGGACCTGGAGAGAAGCCTTCAAGTATTAGGAACACAAATTGAGAAGTCAACACCCATATCAGAAGATATTTAGAAAAATTGTATAACACGCTTTCCATAAAACTATTACAAAATCCACTATGAGCTCTCTTTAATGGCAGACTTTAAATATTTTGTGTAACAACTGTTATAATCTCATTGCTTTAATAATCATAGTAACCGAAATATTCATATTTTTTATATACAAGAGATGAAACAGAAAGTCATAAGCTAGATCTGTGTGTCGCTCCTGAAGACGTCAGTAAGGAGACGAACTTTTAGCAAATACCTTCCTGTGATTGGCTGTTGCTGGGAATGGCAACACTCTTTCTATAATTAAATGGAAACTAAGAAATACGTCTTTTAGCACAACAATATCTTTATTTCAAACACAACCTCTTCGTTTTGTACAAGACAGAAATTTCCATCTAACTGAATAATTTAGTCCAATAAGAGAACGGAGCATTGTATCGCTGATATTATTTGCGTGAGGCAACCCCCACTGATGACGTCACAAGCTAGGTAGCCAGCCCATGTTTCTGTAACACTCGTTACATCCTGCAGTATTTAATTATCACTATATTAATACTTTTAAATACTTAACATTTCACTTTTTAGATAGATTAAAGTTGAAGGAGAATGTCATAAGCAAGGATGGTGTGCTGAATAAAGATGATTTATTAAGTGGATGGAGCCTTTAGCTGATCCCTTCCTGTGATTGGCTGTTGTGTGAATGTCAACAAAGAATATCTACCAATGATATGTCATTTATTATGCACCCCATACCATCTGTGGGCGGAGCTTGGAACTTCCTACCCGAGCCCAACAACCCGCCTTATGGGTTGCTGTTTGGCTATTTATAGTGCGTTGGAAAAAAACTAGATGGCGTTAGTGGTATTTTGTGGGGTAATTTGTTATAAGTGTAATTTGATGTCAACAGATGGCGTAAGCTGTATCTTATGGCCACTATTAACCTGCCAGTTAATAGTGTTCTCGTCTGCCGACAGATGGCATCAGCTGTGTTATTATTACTTCGAATTACCTTTAAACACTGATCTACAAATCCCTAGGCTTATGATAAGGTTTTATACCATTTATGATAAGTATTAGATAACTTGAGTTATGCAATTACTTTTATTTATCAACTGTTCAGGATATCATCATATAACGATATAATGTACGATTGCGAGTTACATGAAAGTAACTAAGCTATAAATAAGTCGTAAATTGAAAATGAAAATAGGTGCAGAGAGTCCGAATTAGGCTCAAAAATCACGCTCAGGAGTCAAATTTCCGACATTTCAGATATTTTGAAAACTGCAGGGGGGTTTGGGCAAAATATGACCCATCGCTGTTTTCAGTAATTGGCGTGTTTTCGGTATAAAAAGTCGTAATTTGAAAATGAAAATAGGTGCAGAGAGTCAGAATTCGGCTCAAAAATCACGCTCATGAGTCAAATTTCGGACATATCAGATATTTTGAAAACTGCAGGGGGGTTTGGGCAAAATATGACCCATCGCCGTTTTCAGTACTTGGCATATTTTCGGTATAAAAGGTCGTAATTTGAAAATGAAAATAGGTGCAGAGAGTCAGAATTCGGCTCAAAAATTACGCTCAGGGGTCAAATTTCGGACATTTCAGATATTTTGAAAACTGCAGGGGGGTTTGGGCAAAATATGACCCATCGCCGTTTTCAGTAATTGGCATATTTTCGGTATAAAAGGTCGTATATTGAAAATGAAAATAGGTGCAGAGAGTCAGAATTCGGCTCAAAAATCACGCTCAGGAGTCAAATTTCCGACATTTCAGATATTTTGAAAACTGCAGGGGGGGTTTGGGCAAAATATGACCCATCGCCGTTTTCAGTAATTGGCATATTTTCGGTATAAAAAGTCGTAATTTGAAAATGAAAATAGATGCAGAGAGTCAGAATTCGGCTCAAAAATCACGCTCAGGAGTCAAATTTCCGACATTTCAGATATTTTGAAAACTGCAGGGGGGTTTGGGCAAAATATGACCCATCGCCGTTTTCAGTAATTGACATATTTTCGGTATAAAAAGTCGTAATTTGAAAATGAAAATAGGTGCAGAGAGTCAGAATTCGGCTCAAAAATTACGCTCAGGGGTCAAATTTCGGACATTTCAGATATTTTGAAAACTGCGGGGGGGGTTTGGGCAAAATATGACCCATCGCCGTTTTCAGTAATTGGCATATTTTCGGTATAAAAAGTCGTAATTTGAAAATGAAAATAGGTGCAGAGAGTCAGAATTCGGCTCAAAAATCACGCTCACGGGTCAAATTTCGGACATTTCAGATATTTTGAAAACTGCAGGGGGGTTTGGGCAAAATATGACCCATCGTTGTTTTCAGTAATTGGCATATTTTCGGTATAAAAAGTCGTAATTTGAAATTTAAAATAGGTGCAGAGAGTCCGAATTCGGCTCAAAAATCACGCTCAGGAGTCAAATTTCCGACATTTCAGATATTTTGAAAACTGCAGGGAGGGTTTGGGCAAAATATGACCCATCGCCGTTTTCAGTAATTGGCATATTTTCGGTGTAAAAAGTAGTAATTTGAAAATGAAAATAGGTGCAGAGAGTCCGAATTCGGCTCAAAAATCACGCTCAGGAGTCAAATTTCCAACACTTCAGATATTTTGAAAACTGCAGGGGGGTTTGGGCAAAATATGACCCATCGCCGTTTTCAGTAATTGGCATATTTTCGGTATAAAAAGTCGTAATTTGAAAATGAAAATAGGTGCAGAGAGTCAGAACTTGCCAAATTGGGCTACAAGTAGTTAATTGGGCTACTTTTGAGAGCCCCACGCTCCCAAATTTTTAATTTCGCTACTTGCGACTTTTTGGGCTAGTTTAAACGCAAGTTGGGGTACTTTGGGCTATTAATATTAAGAAACTCAATGATGATTATTTATGCTTTAATAATATAATCTGTACAAATCACAGCCGAGTCCAACAGCCTGATTGACTAGACCACTTACCGCAGGAGAGCCCTGGTCAGAGACCGGCACGCTGATCCCTCCAATAAGCTATATTTCATATGTCTCAAACCAATCCTAAATGATTTTGAAAGGATGAATTTACTTTATCAAAAGATGAAGCAAATCAGTATAGCCTTCACACTGTCTTAGAAAACTTCACTCTTGGAATACTCAGAAGAATCTTTCGTCCTCATCATGCAAAGCTTCATGTTAATTTGGACTACAATTCTATGTATCTGCCCCTGGAGAAAGTGGACTTTGGTTACGAATTTTCAACACTTCTGGCCACTAACAGACAAAACAATTTTACAACCCAGGAAAAGTTTCAAAATGTTCAAGAAAGATGCGATAATTTTTTAATGAAAGCTTGCAAATAGCTTCTTTCTCGTATTCTAAGTAATGTTGAAACTATAAAAAATGGTGAAAAATCTGTTACCTATCATATGCCTTAGCTTACATGGCCACCATTTTCGGAACTTCCGTTAGTATTAGCTGACCAATCTAAGCTTAGTGAAATTGAAAGTCAGTGGCGCCTACTGCTAACCATTGACTAGTCCAACATTTGTAAGGGACAAATTCCGACATCTGAATCGTCATTTCAGACTGCAAGACAATAACTGTCAAGAACACTGCTGGCGATCCCATACTGATTGACCTCGCTGAGTTTGTGTTGAAAATATACAGCTTGCCAATCAGTAATGCCCTGGTTGAACGGATATTTTCGAGAGTAACGTCTGTGAAAACTAAACTGAGAAATCTTGAATGGGAATGGGACTTGAGCTTTTGACATCAGTCTTGAGAATCAAAACATATCTTAAAGAAAATGTAACTTGTTGCTCGTCATTTGAACCACTCATGTCAATGCTTAAATATGAGTCTGCAATATACAAGAACGAGGTTGTGGATGCAGATCAAGATCTTGGTAATCTTCAACTGTAAAGACGTGGAAGGACTTCACACCCACTAAGCTTCAAACAGTAAATATTGGTAAGTTATCCTATTATCATACTGGTTAAATATATATATATGCAGAGATAATGTTAATAAAACAATTAAAATCGTTTAATGTACTCTATATATCATAATAGATTACTTTGAAACCCGTATCAGTCACTAAACAAAAAATTGGGCTACTCTTATTAGCTACTCTTGGGCTACTCTATTTTTGTTTTTTTTTGTTTTGAGATATATACAAGAGTTGTTACATTTTTGTACAACCACTAGTACGCGTAGCGTTTCGGGCAAGTCCTTAATCCTATGGTCCCTGGAATACGATCCCCTGCCGCGAAGAATCGTTTTTCATCCAAGTACACATTTTACTGTTGCGTTAAACAGAGGCTACAGTTAAGGAATTGCGCCCAGTAAATCCTCCCCGGCCAGGATACGAACCCATGACATAGCGCTCGCGGAACGCCAGGCGAGTGTCTTACCACTACACCACGGAGACTGTTAAACCAACAAACTTTGTAAAATCTCTTGTATGTATGTACCTTACCTAAATAAACATTTATTTATTTATTTATTTATTTATATATATATATATATATATATATATATATATATATATATATATATATATATATATATATATATATATATATATATATATATATATATATATATATATATATATATATTTATTATTTATTTATTTATTTATTTATTACAAATTCGCTACTTTTAGACCGTCAGCTCGCTACTTTTAGCAATTTCAATTTCAATTCAATTGAGCCAGTGTCTGGCTGGACTCCCGGCCGCGAGGTGGTGGTCGTTATCTACACACTCGCTCTAAACTTTGTAAACATTTCATGGATTAATTATTGCCAGCTAGTTTATCTTAGGGCAGGACGCCAGCGGCTTGTCGTAGGTTCTCCCATTTGCCCTGCTGATCTTTTCCTAGTTGTTTATTGTACATCTTATGTTGATCCTGTGAGAAGAAGCACAGAAAAGGACCTCCCCTTGATATAATAAACCTGTTCAGGCGAGTAGGTGGTATAGGCCAAGGTTAACTTAGCCTCCTAAGTTATGTACGGTCTCTCTTTGTCATAACTTAGGTATCTTCTAAGTTATATACGGGCTGCATTGAATTTTGTAACTAGCTCATTAACACTGTAACTTTCTTAGCCAATTCAGTTTTGGGGTTCAGTCCCTGAGCCCATTATGTGCCTCTGTAACCCTTTCCACTACCTCAGGATGGGTATGAGGTGCATAATAAATGAACTAAACAAAACTGTACCCTAGGGGTACAGCAGCGCAGTAAGTAGTTGAATAATGTAAAAAATGAAAGTTCTGGACGTAGAGTTGGGGTTCGTTCTATATTCACTGTCGCGAATTCCATTTTAGAATCCCAGGCGGGGCAGAAATCATTGGGAGCGTTTCCTATCTTCCTGTCCTTGTCGAGGCCACTAGTATTGGTGGCCCTATCACCTAATGCACCTGTTCACCTAGCAGTAAATGGGTACCTAGGAGATGTGGGGATTGCATCCTGGGGAGGGTCAGTAATTCGACCTTGGTGGGTTCTCGATATATACCTAACATATATACACAGGCTGCCTGTCCCCGGACACACTGAATCATTATTATTATAGTTATTATTTAAAAATAATACCTGTATTATACAGTTCCAAGGAGCAATGTGATAGGCTTCTTGGATATAACCCATGGGGTTAGTTATATTTGATTACAAAATCTAGACTAAAATGGTCAAACCTAATTTTTAAAAGCATTTCACATGTACAGTATTTTATCTATTTAGCAACCTTATTAGCCAATTTTTGAGCACATTATATAATAGATCTGATAGGCCTATGTTAGTTTTGGTTCTCAGTAGTATTTTTTTGTTGTATCCAATGGGATGATGAAGCTGGAATTGTACGAGTAACATTGGGAAATGTTTTGCCCTGTATGCAGGTAGTACAGCACCTCTGGGGCCTGTATCAAAACAATGCAGGGTCCCATTGGTATGTATCCAGGATGTACACTGGCCTTTCGACAGCTCGTTTTCTAATTGTTAAAATTAATTGTTGGGCTTGGTTAGTATAGTCAAGGTTAAGCTAGGCTAGATCAGGTCTGATTTGATCTTGTTAGGATTGGTTGAATAGGGTTGCAGGATTCATTATGCAGATGATTCTCAAATTACTCCTCAGAAAGCACTTAAGTTTTCTATTATGCAGATGATTCTCAAATTACTCCTCAGAAAGCACTTAAGTTTTCTAATGTGGTTGGCTTTTCAGAGAAGCATAAACAAAGCATGAACCAGTACTAATATTTTGTGCACTTTATCCATAAATCCTCATTAAAAAAATGGTGTATATTTTATATTAGTACAATCAGTTACCAAAAATGGTAAATGATTTATAATAATAATAATCCATTTTGTCGGGACAGGCAGCCAGTGTATATATATATGTGGTAAATTGTGTTCTAGGGCATTGTAGGCAACCCCTCCCCCCCCCACTTGAATTATTCTATCCAAGCAGGGAGACCTTATCTTCAGAAAGACATATCTGTTTTGGAGAAAATCCAACACGGGGGTGACAAGAATCCTGAACTAAGTCAACCCCTATACCAAGAACGGTTAAGGGTCACAGGGTTGACACTGCAAACCAGGCATGTCAGGGCTGATTCACAACATCCCTGCAGCTTCCTTTAGTACCTCATGGTGGTGATTGGTGTGGTCATACTACTTTTGTTACACCCAATTCCTCCAGGTATCTTTTTAGCTCTTCTACAGTAACTTAAATTCTGTCTAGTGTTGTTCTGGTCATCTGTTGTCACTCCTACTTGGACACCAATCTGGTTCTGGTTTAAAAACCTCTTGGAACACTTCTCTCCTCACCTCACACACTTCTTTTTAATTTTCCAAGAATGTCCCACGCCGTTTAATCACATGATCTCATGCTGTTGTTTTCCTCCATATATAGCTTAGCTTGTTTTTTTTTTGTTTTGCTGAAATGTCATTCTCGAACTATTGTTGTGCTTCCCTACTGATTCTTGTATACTTATTCTTGGCCTTCTTTAATACCTCCCTATTTGCCTCTGTATCCATATCCCTATACTTTTTCCATGCCTTTTTTGTCTTCTCTTTTTCCTCTTGAACCATGGGTTTGCCATTCTCCTTTTTGTCCACTTCATGAGAGGCATGATCTGTTGTTACCTATTTGCATTTCTTTGTTATAAGTTTCATCTCATTTACTGGTTTTCCTTCCATTTCAATCCCTATGGGACTTTAGGGTTATGCCTGGTTAGCTCCAGAGTGAAGGGACATTCTGGCTGAGACCCCAGGTGACCTGAACTACTTTCTTGTTTTCTGGTGGTGGTTGGGCAAGTCACAATTAGGGTATTTGCTCCACAGCAGCGACCGCTTACCTTGTTTGCCTAGGGATGCCTAATTAATCTCAAGTAGAGATTGTTTGCAACAAAACAAGTTGTCACTTATTTTGTTGCATGTTTGGTTGATGATGGTATTATCCTAGTTTCGTAGTTGATCTCCGAGTCCCCTGCTCCCCTTGCCTAGTAGAGTGAACCAGATTTTGGTCCTTGTTTCTGGTAGGTAATTGATGGACTCTCATAGATCTGGCATGTTGGGCTAAGACTTGATGGTACTCAGGTGGTACTTGAAAGCCCCCCAAGAAAATGCCATTACATTCAACACTGAATTTTTTTACAGTGCAGAAGAGACAGGAAGCTGACTAGGCAAAATGGCACAGTATAAAGGAGCAGCGAGCGAGGCTGGTCGGGCCATGCAGATTAAAAAACGAAGAGAACGGGAACAGGAGGAAATGGAGCAGAAGAAACGGAAGTTAGAAGAATCGCTAAAAATAAACAAGATTGAAAATAAGTTTGCTGTTCATTATGATGCAGTGGAACAGCAACTAAAGGTATGAAAAGCATGTTAAAGCATAAGTCCTTATTTTATTTTTGAAACATAGATTATAATTTTAATACTGTATCTGCTTTCAGTGTTGCTCAGACAGCCCGTACTCCTAATGTTTCAAAACGTCAAGAAAACAGTTAATTTAAAGTGTTCTCTCCTAACCTAACAGACTAAGCTAGAGGACTGAAAACAGAAAATGGGACAGTACATCACTTTCACGAGCCGCTTCCATTTTCTAGCATGACAATTTTTGGCTTTAGTAAGGCATACGAGCAAAAAGTGATATTCTTTGTAAGAGGACAAGTTGTGCTCGGATGTTTAAATGTCAGATTTTTAGGGTTCTCAAATTATTCATGCCGTTATAAGCCTTAATAAATTTATTATTGTAGGAGCTATCTTAGAACAGTTTGTGGTAAGCTTGTGTTTCTCAGGTTGTACACAGTCATTAAAGCTAGCCAGCCTGCAGTCTACCCCTCATGCTTATAATGTTCACAAGTATGCTGCCTTGTCAGCCGTTTTTGGTAATATATCTTGAGCCGATGTTGGACACAGGGGTTTTGGGGGTCTAAAAGGGTCTTGGCTGCCAGGTATCTAGTCAACGTTCCGGGTCCTCTGCAGCCTTGTGTTGCAGTGTAGCATCCGTCACGGCCTTTGGTCTCGACTTCGAGTTAATACCTGCGGGGCTTTCACCTCCCTGGTAAGTTTCCCATTTTTGCCCTTCTCTGTGGGTAGTTAGCTTCAGGGAGCCGGAAGGGGGTCCCCACAGAAAACTGGCCTTGAATGGAATGAAATGCCAGTTTCTGGGTGAGCCCCGGAGGCTTCCTGACACCCTCCCTTCCCCAAATCGGTGGTGTGTTTCTCAGTAAAGAACTGAAGCCTCTCTGGTAGGCCAGACATGAGTCCTATGACTGATGTGACCCAGTTGTGAGTAGCTGTTTCAGTGAGATAGCTTCAGGAAGCCACCAACACACTACCTGAAAGAGGTGTTTCATTACATTTTATGCTAGTTTTTTTTATATCCTGGAGCAATAATATAAAATGATCTTAAAATATAGTAATATGCACTTTCCTTTCAGAGTTCGACAATTGGTTTAGTCACACTCAATGAAATGAAAGCCAAACAAGAAGATGTTGTCAAAGAAAGAGAAAAAGAATTAGCAAGAAAAAAGAGAGAACAAGAAAAATTGTTAAGAAAAGAAATTGAGGCCAAACAAGCCAAAAAAAAGGAACAGAGAGAGAAGGTTAGTTTTTTAATTACAATTATTTTTTAGCAAATATTTGTGGCATATTGTTTGCTTCTCCAGAAGCTGCCATCACTGGTAATGTGCCAAACTACTCGATGCCAGTATTCTATATATGGTACTTTGAGCCTATATAATTATGTACGTCTTCCAATTGTCTGTAAAATTCTCACTTTCTGAAACATTCTGGGTACTTTCCCAGTGAGGGATGATTAATTCTCTGCTGTGTGCGCCTTTGTGAAAGGGGGGGGGGGAATCTGGTTCTGGTTTTAATCCCTGTAGGAAAAACAGGACTCCTATGACCCAGTAGTGGGGAGGCATCTCGGCAAGATAGCTTCAGGGAGCCACCGGGGCTCTACCAGAAAAAGGGGGTTTCATTACACTCAACGCTGGCTTTTTGCTTGCTCCTTTTACTTAATTGCTAATGATTGTGTTTTGTAAATCTTTTTAACAGATTGCGAAGCTTAGTTTTTGCCCTGATGATGAAGAGGAGGAGGAAGAGGAGGAGGAGGAGGAGGAAGAGCAGCAACAGGAGGAAGAGGTGGTGATGGAGGAGGAGTATATTCCTGAAATTAATGAACATGACAAGGAACTCAACAAAGACTTTAGGATGGTTAAGAATCCCGATGTTGATACCAGCTTTTTACCAGACAGGGACAGAGAAGATGCTGAAAATAGGCTCAGGGAGGAATTACGGCAGGTAAATAGAGCATTCAAAGGAACACCAATTTTTATTAGTACTGTATATGTGTGGGAATTTCCTTATGGGGGAAGATTTATTCATTTTATTTATTAATTCCAATTTTATTTAATTGTAATTTATTATTAATTTAATATTTATTTTATTAAAGCTTAGTGAGCTGTATTTTCAGATTTCTGCACAAATAAACTCCTGGCATAACTTGGGAGGGCTTATACTTGTATATAAATAAGTCACTAAATTAAAATAAATTGGTTAGTAGGAAATTAATTCAAATTATTATACATAGTTTGTAACTGGTGACACCTTGGTTTCGGCTTGTAAACTGAAAATTTGCTACCCGAAATGAATTTTCCCATGAGAAATAATATAAATGGAATTAATCTGTTCCACACTCCCAAAAATATTAACTTCAAAATACATTTCTTACATAATATACACAAATATTTTGAACTATAGTATGTACAAGTTATAGCTTACCTTTATTGATGATTCTTGTTGGTGTATGGAAAACGGTGAGGAGAGGTGTTAGTGTTCGGAACGGGAGTCCCCTTCCATTATAACAGCAGTGATGACATTTCTAGGGTACTCTCTCTCTTATGTTTTGCAGGCATGTCACTAGGACCTGGTTGTGGCTCACTGTATGCTTGTCTTACTAAGAATCTGTCTATAGACACTTGTTTTTCCCCTACATTTAGCACTTGTCTGCAGTGAGAAATCACATTCTCTCTATGGATACCTGATCAACCAGGCTGTGACTCATACGTCAGGCTGCGAGCAGCCGCGTCTAACAGCCTGGTTGATCAGTCCAGCAACCAGGAGGCCTGGTCGACGACCGGGCCGCGGGGACACTAAGCCCCGGAAGCACCTCAAGGTAACCTATGAATGATCTCTTGTTTTTCCTCTATCGTTATCCTCACAACTATTTTCCTAGGTTGAACTTTACCACTGACTTTCTTGGAACCCATGTCGTGATATATAATAAACTTATGTTCAGAACCCCCAAAAAAGCACAAAATCAATGAAATTCTTCACAAAGAATTCAAGCGCGGTCATCACTAGGTGGGTGTCACTGGTAAACTGAAGCGTGCCACGTGCTCGGTCGACCCATACGTGTATCAACAAACTTTGTAAGGAGAAGCAAAGCTCGTAACCCGATTCAAATTTTACGAAGAAATTGAGCTTTTAACCTGAAAAATTTGTAAGGAGGGACGTTTGTATCTCGAGGTTTCCCCTGTAGTTAAGTTGATTACTGTACTAGGCGACAGCTTATATGAGTTAGAAGCTGAAGCTCTGGTCTGAACAATGTCTGTGATGCGTGGACCTGGCCTCCTCCCTGGTAAACCATGTGGTCCTTATTTTCAAGTGAGCACTATACTTTATACTCGAGCGTGTGTCTTGTTTTCCGACTGCCCCTCGCGGTCACCTGTCCCTCAATAGAATTCTTGGTGACTCGGATACTTTTGATATCGTTCGCCTTATGCGTTTTTGTTCTCGTATTGGCATCCTTGGTGATATTTAGCGCCCTCTGATTATTCCGCGCATTTGATGGTGCTACATAGCCTTCCCGGTTTGGTGCCTTCTTTTGATAATTACTTACTTATACTGTATACTGTTGAACCTGAAGCTGGATTGATTATCAGAAGGGTTGTGGTGCATTGATTTGTTTATATAACATAATTTAGATATCCAATGACGATGTTAATATTTATTAAAATTCCTGCTCTTTAGGAATGGGTAGCAAAACAAGAAGCCATGAAAAATGAGGAAATTGAGATCACTTTCAGTTACTGGGATGGATCAGGCCATAGGCGATCTGTACGTATGAAGAAAGGTAAGCACACATTTTGACATTATTTGTGCCCATGCAGGCCAAATAGTGAATCCTATACACTGAAATATTATAATACAATCAGTCATGTTTGCAGTATGTTTTATATGAATGACGACTGCTGTACGACAAGGCATGAACCACCCTGCTATATGGATGGCCATGGACCACCCTGCCATATGGCTGGCCCATGGACCACCCTGCCATATGGCTGGCCCATATAGCAGGGTGGGTGCTATTTTATTTCTATAAAAAATAAATGTACATATACTGTAATATTTTGCTATTAAATATTTCCCGAGATAGGGGTATACTGTGCATTTGTTGTGACCGTAAGAAACTCATGCTCTAAATCCTCTACCATTAACAGGAAACAGCGTGTATCAATTTCTCCAGAGAGGACTAGAAATTCTACGGAAGGAGTTCAATGAACTGCGTTCAGTGTCTGCCGATCATCTTATGTACATCAAGGAGGATCTGATTATACCTCATCATTACACTTTCTATGATTTTATTGTTAACAAGGTAGATATGTTTAATTATATACATTATGGATCAAAGTACGGGATCTTTTGGGTGCTCTATGGGCCTAATTGGTCCAGAAGTCTTGACAGGTTGCTGTTATTATTTAGAGTTTTGTTTAATAAATTGTATTACTTCAGTTTTTTTTTATTTATACATAATAGAAAAGCTGTGATTGATTGAAACACTTGGTTACTTGCATTTGCATTATCTCTAGCTGTTTAGCTGTATATAAGGAATTTGTTTTAAGAGTTTATCAATGCAGAAATTATAATTCTGTATGGATAAATTTATGCCATATTTGTGTATTATGTTATACTTGGCAATGGGGTAATGTATTGTTTTTGGTTGCACCTAATTAAGATTTCAACCAGGTATAAATAGGTGATGTTTTTTTCCTTCTTCCATTAACAAAATATTAAACCAGACACTTATGGCACCCTCATGGGTTTCGCCTTCTTACAGTGAAGGGCTCGCATATGACTGCCTGGGGTCGATGGAGGTTGCCTCCGCCTCCTCTCTGGGCTTTGTACTTGAGAAGAAACCAACATAGGGTTTCCATTTGGGTCATCGGATCACCTGCCAGAAGGATTCCTCACCCTCAGAGGGTGGGTGTGTGGGATGAGATGAGAGGGAGAAAGAAGCCTTTGCACTGTTGTTGCAGTGTGTATGATGCAGTAGGACTACCCTGTTGAAAAGAGGAGAGCCCTGTTTAAGATGACATACTTTCCTGCACTTGTCAATGTTTGGCTTCCCTTGCTGCCCTGGTAGGTGGTATCCCTTGGCTCTGGGGCCCAAACTTAGAAAAAAACAGGATGCATATGATAAACGAACTCGCTTCTCAAACTCAGATTCGTGAGGAGACAACCAGGCCCCCCCCACATGTCAGACATTTGATGGAAGATTGGGCTCTGTAACTCTAGCTACAGTGGACCTAGACCTGACTTTATCATTGGTTCCCTAGCTTGGTGCCTTCGTTTGCTTCATCATTGGTTCACCTTCTCAATTTCGCTACCACTTCCTTGGCAGGGATAACTCCCAAGTCCCCAGTGGTGATTACCTCATCATCCCAAGTGACTCCATCTTTGGTTGTTACAACTGCATTTTACCCCCTGCTTAATAGGTGAAACATACATAAGCACCTTGTTGACTCTGTGAATACACATTTTATCTCGAACCCTACTCTCTGGATAGGTGGGGTTAATGGGTAACTGGACACTTTCTATGTATGTAATGTCCAAACCCCTGAAAGTGTAACTGATATCGACACGAACACTGCAGATTTTGAAAGAAAAATGGACAGTGTGCCCATGCACAAACCCCCCAGCCTGTCCTCTAAGCAAAGACCTAAAGTTCATTCCATGCACAAGACAAACCTCTTGTTTATGAATGAAAATTGTTTACGCACAACTTGCAATGGATGACGCCCGAACATTTCTGGAACAAGTGCCTCGCTGATGACTTTTGTTCGAAGTACAATGCTGTAAATGCTTCTCCCACGTACAGTATTACAAATAATCGGCAACAGAACCTAAACACCTAACCTAATCAGTGCCTAAATATGCACAAAATACTAGTATATAATATTAATTTATATTTGAGAAAAGTTCTGTTTTGAATGAACAATGTTAAAATTGATGAATGTGTCTGTGGTCGACCGCTGGATAGAATGGACTTCGTCTAAGGACAGGTTGCAGCCCCAGGTTCAGACTCGAGAAATTTGATTTTTATAAAGAAATGCAAAGTGCCAGTAGCACAGTCACTTGGTATAGTGTAGAGGAAGAGCTTAGATCAGCAGATATAGCTTTTCTACACAAGGGAGGGAGCAAACATTGGCCAAGAATTATAGACAAGTTGCACTAATGTCCCACATAATAAAAAAATTTGAGAGTGTGATTAGGAACCAGATCTCCAGTTTTATGGAGACCAATGACCTCTGCAACTCAGGCCAACATGGATTTAGAGTGGGGAGGTTATGCTTTGTGCCGACTACTATGACAAAATCAATGAGGCATTAGAGGAAAAACAATGCAGATGTGGTATACACGGCCATCGCAAAGGCATTTGATAAATGCGACATGGAGTGATGTGATGACCATGCCCCACACCAGAAGATGTGACTATAATATTTTGGACTTTCCTGGACCATTATCAAGTCACAATAGACATGATAATGGTACAGAATGGACCGAAATGTCGTCTCCTCATCTTCTGGTGTGTGGTTTAGTCATCCTATCTTCAGCCATGCTATTGTGACTCATCATCTGCATATGGAGTGATAGAACAAAATATTGGTCAGTTGGAATAACAGGTAAGCAGTTGAGTCAATAACGTGGCATTGAGTCAGAGGTGTGTGCGTCGCTCATGGTTCCTGTATACAAACTGAGGCCTACCCATGAACATGTGGGAACCCATGATTGTTTTCATGATGGCAGGTGTTTACTGGAGACCTGAGGCATCGTGTGGGTTTCTCACTTACCATCTGGGAGTTTTAAGTCTTGCACTACACCAAAAAAACAGCCCTGGTTGTGGTGCACGCCGTCAATGAAACAACCCTAGTCGTGGTGTACAGTTGAAGGGGTTAATAACAATTTGACTTGGGAGATACAAGCCTTGGAATGGGGCACCAATGAAATTGGATCAACCCACAAAGTGTGTACTGAGTTAGAATTGGTGGCACACCACTGTATACAAGACATGATGCTCTCCCGACCGAACCAGCCAAGCATCAATGACCAAAGGATAGCTCTGGAAGCCATCCGACATATTCTTCGCCAGAAACGGAGCTGGCTGCAAACCAACAAATCGCTCAGCAGGACCAAAAGAACAAAAATCCCACCTTTGGAGAACATGAAGCTATAAAAATGCTGATAAAGGCATGTCAAAAAAGACGAGATGCGAAAAGTTGAGAAGTTCAAACTAGTGAAATACGTCACCAGGCCAACCTTCTTATAGAGGTGGAATCATTGAAAAAATGCCCAGGTTTGGACACCGAGCAAACACTGTCCAAGGGTGAACCAGTGGCTAAGGTGCCAGAAGGATCACCCTTCCCTGGTAGGACCAACCTGGCCAAGACCCAGAGCAATAGCTGAACCATCAGGAAGAATACAGGAACCCCCCCCCCCCCCCCCCCACCTCGACCAGTCCAGCTGAAAGGCATCCACAGCAAGGGGATCGTGGTAGGGAAGTGGTGCTGCATACAGAGGAAGGCAATAATTCCATGCCAATGTAAAAAGATCCACCTCCGGGGTGGCCGCACATCTCGCAAAGCCGCAGGAAGGAGGTGGCATCAAAGGTCCACTCAATAGAAACGGGATGGAACTGAAAACTGTCTTGGAGAATGCTGAACATTCCCTGGACGTGAAGAGCATGGAGAGCCAAACTGAGAAACTAGCAAAAGAGCTACTTGAAGAGTCCATTTCCAAAGGGCAATTGACTGAAGTGAACCCCTTAGTTGAGACAATGAACCACAGAGGGAACAGTCCAAATAGAGGTGGAGCACAGAGCCCAGAGGAATCCAAATCTTCCACAGCATATGCCAGATGGTTGCAAACTCATGAACTGTAATTGTGAGTTGGACAAAGGAGAGGAGACCAATGACCCTGGAAGACTTGGCGAGCACTAGTCACAAAGTCCCAAACCAGAGTGGAGGAGTCCATGAAGACATTGAGTGAGGGCAGAGGAAACCCCAGAAAGCCTAAAGAGAAAGCTAACAATGCAGCAGCCAGAGAAGGCCCAATGGCTCCAGCACCCAACGATTGCAGTGGCGTAATCGTTTGTCATAATTGATAGATATAACTAATGTGGTACTAGTAAATAATGTTCTGATTAAAGTTGGTATTGTTCCATTTTTTCTGTTTTACACTTGATAGTACAGTTACAGACCAGGAACTGAAATGCAGTACTGTACTCTAATTTAATTGCCGTCTTTATTTTTTCTTCAGGCTCGTGGAAAGAGTGGCCCACTGTTTCATTTCGATGTTCGTGATGATGTACGATTAGTTAGTGATGCATCTGTAGAAAAAGAAGAATCACATGCAGGTAAATTATTGGTGGGTTGTTACAAGAAGGGTTTATAAATGTCTACAACACATTTTTGAGTATCTCTTTACAGCTAGAGGTTTCCCTTTATTATACATGGTACATCATTCAGAACATTTTGCCACATATCCTCATGAATTGTTGATTATTACAAGTGAAACAGAATTATATAGCTTATGCATTTGTTAAGTTTTCCTTCAGATAGATTAGAATCTGTTCTGCATGCCAATTACCATAGCTATGTGATAATATACAGTACAAGCAATGCTTTTCTGAGGGGAAGGGGTTATCTTGAGATGATTCTGGGGCTTTTTAGTGTCCCCGCGGCCCGGTCCTCGACCAGGCCTCCACCCCCAGGAAGCAGCTCGTGACAGCTGACTAACACCCAGGTACCTATTTTACTGCTAGGTAACAGGGGCATAGGGTGAAAGAAACTCTGCCCAATGTTTCTCACCGGCGCCTGGGATCGAACCCAGGACCACAGGATCACAAGTCCAGCGTGCTGTCCGCTCGGCCGACCGGCTCCCTCAGTGACTCCCTGAAGCTATCTCACTGAGATGGCTCCCTACTACTACTATATCACATCAGCTGTGGAGTTCTATTTGGCCTTCCAGGAACCAGAGCCAGAACCAGGCTTGCTCACAGAGGCACAAGAAGTAGGTGACTTTATGCCACCTCACCAGGAAAGGTGAGAAAGGCATCTAGAAAGGCAGGAACTTTTCTGAATGTTTGCTGCTCGCAACAAACTGAATGAACTTCCGCACAATATAACAGCCCATGCTCGTATACAAAGATCCTAGCTCGTTAATTCAGCCGCCAAACCCCCTGTTTATGAATGAAAAGTAGTTGGGAAGATGGGGTTTTTCGTGTGTATATCTGCTCCAGAACTGATTGCTCTAGCTTGTGGACAGCATGAGCTTCAACCCCACCACTCCCACCTTCCCATATGAGTGGGAAGGATGGGTAGAATGAACATACACTTGTTTAGACAGATTTGGTAATTTTGTTTACATTGTTTGGGGGAGTTCATTCAGTAAGTTGCGAGGCTTTCCCAGTGAGGTAGTCGAGTATCACCGGCTTCCCCACGCTTCTATGAGGGGGGCTAGGTTTTGGCTCTGGTCCCTGGTAGGCTGAATAGAACTCTACAGCCAAGGAAATCTAGTAGTGGGGGAACTCTCTCAGTGAAATAGCTTCAGGGAGCCACCGGGGCTCACCAAGAAATTGGCATTTCATAGCATTCAAGGCTGGTTTCATTACATTGAATGCCAAAGAGTTGCACAAACTTGTATGGTAATGTGAAGAACTGCTTGGTATGAAGAGCAATTGGTGACAAAAAATTGGATTTTATAGATACAAAGTAAAAGAGGGTAAAAGATATTTGAAAAGATTAATATATTTAAAAATTATTATGTAAACAAAAAGATATAAAAAAAGATACTGTAAAAAGAAGAAAATGCAGCAGAGAAACTGGTGGATGGGTAAAAATAATAATAATAAATGGTGAAATACAGTAGGTGGAAATGATAAGTGGTGCCAATGTGATCAGGATTGGATTTGATGATGTTAGAAGAGTGTAAAAATGATATACCAGATGACATACCTCTGGAAGAGTAGAATAAAATAATGTAGAAGCTGAAAGTGGGAATGCTGCAGGTGTTAAGGTGTATGCAGACATGGTTAAATGCAGTGGGAAAAAGAGAAGTGGAGCTGGTGTAGAGAATTTGTCGGAAGGCATGTGATAGTGACCCATTGCCATAAGAGTGGTAAAAAGCAGCAAATGTACGACTGTATACAAGTGAAGGAGAATGTAGCAACTGTAAGAATTATATACATTAGTTTGTCAGTTAAAGTGGGCCAATTGATGACATCACAGTGATCAAAAGAGTGCAGGGAATTAATAAGAATTTGATTAATGAAGCTGGTTCAGGAGTGGAAGTTAGTGTATGTGTGTAGCTCATCAGATATTTGATTTAAGGCAGCTTTTAGAGGATTAGAATGTGAGAAAGATTATAATGTGTACATGTCACTAATGGACTTGAACAAAATATGAGAATGTGTATAGAGAAAGACTTGAGGGTTCTGAACATTTATGTAGTTAACCAAGTTCTGTTAAGTGTTGTGAAAAGTTTCCATTATAGAAAGTATGTACATTACTAAAAGGTATTGTTTGATCCCCAGGCAAAGTGGTGATGCGCAGTTGGTATGAGCGTAACAAGCACATCTTTCCTGCAAGTAGATGGGAGCCTTATGATCCTCAGAAAAATTATGAAAAGTATACAATTAAAGATAAAAACAAGAAAAAATGAATGAATACATCAGAACAGTAAGCTCTGAAGTACAAATCTTTATTTTGTTCTTTCTGTACTGCCAGGAAATAGGATGTTAATAATATGAGCATATCCTAATAATGTACAAACGGCAACTACTTCAAATTATTTACTTTGATACAGTTGAAGTAAATGAGAGAGTAGAAGAAACAAACACACACCCTCATAATATTTCACTGTGTTCCTGTGTTGATAGTCTGGTGGAACCTACAGTGTCTTTCCCCAAAGATCTATATGATCACATTTACTTGATGGAAATATTTTACATGCAGATACATATTACAGTGATGAAGAGGGACACGAGTTACATATATTAAGAGGCACATGCCGGTAACAATTATTGTTTCCACAATAGGCATGCATGGTAGGAAACCAAAAACATGGACTCAAGAACAGCTGAAAGTTAGCTGCAATAAGAAGCAATGAGATAGGTAAATAAGAAATTAATTATGATGGATACATTGGGAGATTTGTGATGTTCTGCAGTTTAAATGTGGTCAAATATAATAGCTTTTTATAAAAGAATGTTATTTCACCAATTCTTCCCTGCTAATGTCTGTATGATATGCATTATTAGATTTGGTATCTTTTCTTGAATGGTATTTATGGAGCTTTAGACAAAGGGGTCCAGGAATAACCAGTGAAGTGTGAGCAGATCTAGCTGTAGCTAATTTGGAGTAGGGACAGCAATCAGATTACAATGTGTTATGGTTATTATCTCCTGACACACACCTTCCCCCATCAAGAGTTGTACTCTAATCTGTAAATATGCATGATGACTCATAGGTCCATTTTGACAATGTTTATAAAGAGGCAGATATCCTAAAATTTGAATTATTTTCGTTTTAAGTTTCTGCAGGGAGAGGGGAAAGCCTAGTTGGTTGGCCATTCCTTCTACCCTGGATGAAGGAATGTATGATGATTGGGCACATGCTAGCAAGATTGACCAATGAGGTGGTAACTTGAGGTCACATGACCTACTACGGACACCAGAGTGGTATGTGGCAGGTGACCAGGGCACCACTACACCTTGAACTCTCAGACAGGGAGGGCACAGCATGGTCATCTCTGAGAAATTACCATATTTCTTGGTTACAAGATGTCAGGGAATGAGATGACATTGTACCATAGGAGTGACTGAGACTTCCTGGAGAGATATTGACAACGTATGTGGCAAGTTGCAAGAGGTGCAACTCTAGGACCATTAGTGACTTTTGGATTCTCCTGTCAATGTGAATGGCTGGGCTGAGGGACCAAGTAATGCTCGCCTCGCTACTTGATGATGATCTACGAAACTGTACAAAGTCATCGTGTAGTTTGGGCAAGTCAGTGGAGGAAAAAGGGGAGCAGTGAAAACTGAAGTGTGGTCCTGCCACTGAATTATTGGCCTCTGCTGGCCAATGCAGACAGTAATAGAGTGTGACATTGTCTGGGACACCTGATACTTCATGGCCTGAGGCATTCCGAGTTTGAAGTGCTAACAAGCAAGGAAAGGTTTTCTGAAGTGCAAAGGTGCAGCATTGACTTACAGTGTGAGGAGTAGAGTGTGATGACTTAGTTGAGAGTGAAGGGATCACACAGTCCACAGTTGTCAGTGGATGTAAAAGGTTTAGTTGTAAAACAACTGAAGAATGGCATGCTAGTTTTCTCATTCCAAGAAAGAGACCACGCACCTGTCATAACTGTCCCCCTCTATTACCTGGCTGGCTGGGAGTAGTAACATTTAGGACACAGTTATTGGTACGAGATAAACAAACAAAATAAAGTAAAGGTCCCCTTGCATAACACCTGTTACTGGGATAATTAAAATCACTTAGCTGTAAATTACTAGGCTAGGTAAGGCTAGGCCAGGTCAGGTCTGGTCAGGCCAGGCCAGGCTAGGCAGGGTGAGAGAAGTAAACCGGCAGGTACTTATGTTTCCGAGAAAGTAGCAGCGGTAGTATATTGTTGATTTAGATTCGACGACATCCTGAAGCTAGTAGGTGGCGGCCTCATCGCTCTCGAACTTCTTGTTGTAGGGGATACGAGGCACACCCAATATCCCCCTTACATTGATCACATCGCACACTAATATTTTTACTATTTCGGACACCAGATTTGTCTGTTTCGTATATGTATAATTGTTCAATATTAAAACCACAATAGAATGCTCTTAACAGTTACAATTTTCAACTTAACAGCCATATAGTTGGCAAGAACGCCGCCCGCCAGTGTAAATGTTCCGAACCTTAATGGAATCTGACCCATATATCAATCAGGACAACCCATGTGTTGCGTTTCCAAAAGGGTCGCCCACGTTAGAATCGGTGAACGCCCTAGTAATATTGTTGAAAACATCTTAACTTATTAAACCAAAGGTCTTTTTATGTCAGAAGAACGTCAGAAACTGGATCTATATATGAAAACTCTTTCAGGACAAAATTTAAAGTAAAACTAAAGATATTTGTAGTTGTATAAAAGTTGCATTTTTCATCGGTCGTAGAGCCGGAAATCCGCAATATTCATCTCGGAACAATGCTTATTTCACGCAGAATCGTTAATAAACGTAAGAATTTTATACGTCTCAAGAAAGATAGAAACAATCTTACTTTAATCTAGTTTTACTTTAAATTTTGTCCTGAAAGAGTTTTCATATATAGATCTAGTTTCTGCCGTTCTTCTGACATAAAAAGACCTTTGGTTTAATAAATTAAGATATTTTCAACAATATTACTAGGGCGTTCACCGATTCCAACATGGGCGACCCTTTTGGAAACATGGAAACGCAACACTTGGGTTGACCCGATTGACAGACTGGTTATATTCCAACAGGGTCTGAGACACCTTCATTTGATAATTACTGTTCCTAGTATGCATATGTTTATGAACCAAATATTATTAATTCTGATTACACCAGTGATCAAACTAGCCACAATTGCATAGTTTTTAAAAGTAGTAGTAATGCTATGAACATTACAGTGACAATAGTTCAAAGTTATGGGCATTTTGAGCCTAATTGCTCTTTCCAGTGCTGAAATTTAAGATTATGCTGGATATACTTAATAAAACTTAACTTTTTTTGTAACTACTCCATTTGCTTTTGGAGTATACTGGCATTCATTAAGGGGGATGAATAAAACCATGTTTACAAAACATGAACATGTTTGACATACAAATTATTTTGCAAAACATTCACTTACCACTTTAATAACACTTATGCATGTCAATCACTTTATGATAATACAGAACAGTATAAAGTTAAACTAAAACATCAACTTGCACATCTTGATCTGCTCTGATCAGGCCTTAACTAATATGATACGAGAACAACTTTAGCGTCTTTGCACTGTGATCTATCTGACAATTTAATAACAAAAGATAGAAAAAGCACTAGCATGCAAAGAAACTAGAGGTGTAACAAATTTGCCATCACAAGAATACTCCAAATCTGCAACTCAACAGTTAATTTAATATAGTACATTAAGTATGAGAAACTAATTAGTCACTACAAATGCATGACCTTTCTGAAGAATTTAACAACTATTTTAAAATGGTAATTAATTAATTACTCGTATCCAGTATTATTTAAAGAGGATAAATTAATGAGCACTTTATAAAATTAGAAAATAAAAATCACAGGGCATTCCACAAATTCTCTCACACTTATTACAAGGATTCTTTGAAATGTTTTTATGATGCACGAACAACTGTCGGGTATTAAAAACATGTTGGGAGAGAACCAATGTTACCGTTGGGAAAACAAGTTCAGCATGTTTTTTGTTTTGATTTTTTTATCTAAAATTTCAGTCATTAAAATTACTGTCACACCAAGTTTTACCTACACTTTGATAATACAACAGACATTACAATAAATATTAAGAATGGCATTTGTCCATACAGTATACCAGTACATATATGTATGACGTATATAGAATTTTGTGCAGGGAAATATAAAACATTCCTGACTGATTTTGGCTTGTTCTCTTATGAAACTTTTCCTCAATACATTGGTTTTTTTTCTGAAAATGCAGAACCAGCATTAAAAAAATATATAAAAAAATATTTATAAATGGATATAATTAAGCTTTGAGAGTTTAAATACCAAATTAGTGTGCAACACTACTTTAATTTTTTGCAAAATGCAACAACACACAACTACACTTGTCTAGACTTAAAGGAATGAAGATGAAAAAACTGCTTATACATAGTCTTCAAATTTATTCCAAACTGTCATTCCTTTACCAACAAACTTTTAATAAATTTCTGCAACTGATCTAAGGCACAATTTACAATGTGTTTATTATGTTTCCAAGACCACATTCCACAATTCATCATTGTCAATTTCTGTAACAGAAGACACACAATTATTAGAAGAATGTGATTGGTCATACAGTATTAGCAAATTTTACATTAGTTTTATTCCATTATTTCGATTAACTGAAGTATTATTTAGTTTGTTTCCACAGCATATTTAAAATACATTTATTTTGAAAATAACAAATTGTAGCTTATTTCCAATGCTAAGCTAAACACCAAATAACATACTGAAGCTGAAAGGACTCCATATAGTACTTATCTCACGACTGAAAAATAGTTATCAATCATGTGTATCACATTACACGAAGACCTAGTCCATAATTTGAACAAGAACATTTATAGGAAATATTACTATTTTCTGAATTTCCCCCGAATAAAATTTAGACGGTGAAAACATTTGTAGAATGTCATGAAACACACTCCTGGGACTATGAAAAAAAGGCACCACAGACCATGAATGGCTTAGCATGATGAAGTGTTGCATATTAATCCCATCAAATATCCTCAATTAATGCAGCCATTCCACTCTTGCTTACACTGTCATGAACAATAGCTGCAGTGAGTACACCTGTATTATGTTCTTCCCCCATGTACCATAATGTGCGTCTTACAAAGCCTTCAGCTGTTAAGCTAACAATAAGCAACTGCCTGTTATCTTTCTATAACATGAGCAAGACTGGCAATGATCAATATAGAATTTATAGCAGTTAAAGATCAGAAACAATGCAAATAACCAACTAATTTTAATTAATAGTTCTATAATATTTCCATACATACTATGCCACAAATTACTTGTAAAAAAGATCCATCTGTAAATTTACATCATAAACCAACAATTCCTGTCAGCATTTAACAGTTACAGTTGAAAAATGTCAGAGCTTTCTTTCTAATTATATATCAACTAAATTTACACAGTAGATTTAGTACTCAATTACATATCCAACCATTTCTATTATAATTCCAATACAGATATTGAAGACAATTTTATTTAAATATAATTCTGACAAACTACTAGGGACCATCAATTTTCTCTCAGCACTGTACTCCCAAAAATCACTAAAATATTGTACTGTAAAGCTTGAACGTTCTATGGTATCTTCGAACTTGTGTTACTGTCAATAATGTTATTGCCACGAGCATCCTTAGAGATAAAATATTACCTGAAAACTTGAACAAGTCAACCTCATGGTACAAGACCCAAGATTATAGTCATTAATCAGGAATAATGATTATGCCTGCTCTATCTTACGCGCGCACTGCTGCAGATGACAGCTCAATCACCGACACCAAACTGTCACATCCACGATGCTCTACATTAACACACTGGGGATTGAAAGCTCTTATAAATGGGTGAGACACAGATGCTGGTGAGGGACTGACTTGAAGTGTGAGGTAGCAGGGGTAAAGAGGGCTCAGTCCATCGCTGCGTCTACATTCATACACATTAGTCGTCGAGCTCTGGTGGAAAATGATGGTGAAGCAGGTGCTTGGGGAACGTAACCATTATTTTCTTCTGAATGAACTCCATTGGCCATTGGCGTGGCCATTGGCATGGCCATTGGCATGGCCGTTAGCATGTCCATTGGCGTGGCCATTGGCATGTCCATTGGCGTGGCCGTTGGCATGTCCATTGGCGTGGCCGTTGGCATGGCCATTGGCATGGCCATTGGCATGGCCGTTGGCATGGCCATTTAAGAGTTTAGTGGTACCATTTGAGATGTTTCCATTGGCATAGCCATTGTACGATGAGAATCTTGAGAACCCATTGGCGTATTCCTAAAATTATGAAATTAAAAATTTTTTACAAGACATTATATTTGTAAATGAATAAAAAGTTTGTTTAAATACATCCCTATAACTACAGTAATTATTTTCAATAAAAATAAGGAACAAAACTTTTGACAATAAAAACTAAAGACAAAAGACAAAATAAGCAAGTAATGGATTTATATTTCTATGAAAAGTAAAGTACCATGTCATTATTACCATTCATGTTATTAACACAGCTGTCAAATAAAGAACTGGTTCCTTGTGTAAAAAAAAATGATATTTGCTCACCTTAGCCTTTGCTGCTCCCTTAAAGTAGGCTTTGACATAGAAATTTGAGAAAAGGAAGAAGAACATCACAGCATGTCCACCAATCCACCACATGAAGGCACGAGGATATTTACACTCTGTGAAGCAAAGCTGCAATTTTGAAAGAAAAATTAAATTACATTATTACTATTACTGTAACGAATTCAATTTATACGTAGTACATTTATACAGTATCACTACCAAATTTCCAACTTATGTGAGGTGGAAGGACATCAGCCCCCAAGTTGCGATATGATGACCCTATAACCAACAAGTGGTACAATCGGCCTCAACTCCCTCTGCAATACAGTGCAGGTATAAGAATGATTGGGCTAGGAACGTTTCCGAATGAGAAAACTTTACACACACATGGCATGCATTGATAGGGTAATATTAAATGCTGTACAAGGTTTCTGTATAGGAAGTAGTGCACATGTTTCCTACTGTTGGAAACAGGAAGCCTCTCTGAATTATCAAGGTCCTCGTCAATGACCGACTACTCCCAGGATGCAATTCACAAGTTACCTAACTCCCTGATTACCTATCCGAGTTTTCACTCCCTGATATATATTAATATTAGTGTGATTTCTGTGCAATACAGTACTACAATATTGTCCCTTATTCTGTACGATGCATTTGTGGTAGTAGTTTGGAAGTTTCGAGGCTTCATTTCCTATTAACCCTCCAGTTGTCTGTAAAATTGCACCGACTTTCTGGAGGCTTTTTCTGGTGAGGTGGCAGACTGTCACTGCTCTCTGCACTTGCTATATAGTCTCTCTAGCTTGGTGTCTTTTGAAAATTACTTGTTTGCTCTCTACACCTCTTTAAGGGGGGGGCCAGGATCTGGTTCTGGTCCCCAGTAGGCCAAACAGAACTATCCACAAATGATGTGGCCTTCTAGTATGAAGTAATTTCAGGAAGATAGCTTTAGGCTGCCACAAGGGGCTCTCTCCAGAAATGATAGTCACGTATAGCTTTCATATGGCCAAGACAACAATATCACAGCTTTGAGAAATTCAACCACTTGAAAAATGGTACAAAAAGAGGTTTTACTACTCAAAGTATACTGTAGTTCATAAAAAAAACTAGTAAAGATGATTTTCTTTAATATACATTATAGCAATTTGTGACAAACACTTTACTGTGCTTTTTATTAAATTTAAACTTAATATATAAAATCCAGTTACTAACCTGGAAAGCATGACTGAAGATCATAATGAACTGAACCATCTGGAAGTTGGTCAAGTACTTCTTCCACCAGATGTAACGTCGGTAGCGGGGACCCATAGCAGCCAGCATGTAGTATGCATACATGACAATGTGTACAAAACTGTTGATCAAGCCAAAGAATGTACTATGGCCACCTGTGAGAGAGTATTTTGTTAACATTTTGGATAAAAATCTTCGACAATTATTCACTGGCATATGTTAGGTGTTAAGTTTGATTCTATAAGATAATACAATTCTCTAGAAATGACATTAATTTTCCACAATGAAGTTAAAATTCATGATATACAACATGGGAGACACCTAAAAGTGGGAAAATATTTAATCCAATATTTTCAATTTCAATAGGCATATTATAATTTACTTTGCACTTTTAAAATGTTATTTTTGACATCATATACAATACTATAAACACAGCTCCTCTGACACCTTTAGGGCTAATAAATTCTGCAAAATCAATAAAAAGAGGACAGAAGTAAGATTAAGGAAGCCATTTTTGATGTTCAAAGTTCATTGAAGACAAGGATTAGATAAGCAAGAATGGCATTGCACGTGGTACAAACTGTCACAGGAGAACGAGAGCAGCAGGGGGAGATCGGGCGGTCTTGAACACAGGTGGTGGGCTGTCCTCACAATATGACCCAAGTCAAGCAGTTTCATTGCCTAATTTTTAAGCAATGTTGTGGACACAAGCTAAACAGCAGTGCTGTTAGCTCACGCTGCATGCCCTAGCCCTGGTTACCTTCATACCCAGGAACCTTGTCCTTAGATAACCTCAAAATAACCAAGATTTGTTGAAGGGACGACAACGTCATTGTCGTCCCTTCACTGTTTTCTTGTTTCCTTGTCTGTTTCCTTGCTCTAGAATTTGTCGATTTTAAAATATTTACCCTTTTAAATTTTGTTAATTTCTATCACGATTTTGTATGTAGTGATCATCTCTCCTTTTCCTTCTATCTACTATCTTTGGCATACTGTATTTGACACCTGGAGTCTTTCCTCACACCTTTCGTTTTTAGCTCTAAGCCATTTAGTAGCATGTCTGCACATTTTTTATTTTGTTAGTGTTTCTTTTAGACATGGACACTATACAACTGATGTACATTCCATTTTCAGTCTCACAAATGTTGTGAATATTTTTTTAACATTTCTCCATCCTTGTATTTAAAAAAAGACATTTTGAAGTTTGCAGGTATAGTGTAGATGCCTCTCAGGATGCCAAGGGATGTGAGCCAGAATTACATTTAGATCAGTTTGTGTGTGTTACTTAAATTTATCTTAATCTAGTGGAAAAAGTAATGCACATTCTGTAAGGCCTACCACACAAACAATTTACCTGGAGTAAATTTGACGCCAAACCACACACTCATGGGCATACAGCCATGATGGATAACATGAAGAGTTGACACATGCTCAAATTTCTTATGCAGCACAAAGAAAAACTGAAATACAGAAACAATGAGTTAATTTTATACATTTTCAAGAGAATACTGTAAAACTTAATTCTTTACATGAAAAATAACTTTGCATCCTTACTGAAATTACAAAAAAAGCAATGAAAGTAATGAAACGTCAATTGTGGTGAGCCCCCCTGTGGCTTCTCGAAGCTACTATGCTGATATAGCGTCAAACTACTAGGTGCCATCAGTTGCAGAGTTTTATTTGGTCTACCAGGGACCATGAGCCAGAACCTGGCTCCCTCTTGAAGTGCAGAGAGCGGCAGTATGCACTTGTGATCAAATTTCTATAAATTTATTCATGTCCATCGCCACCAAGGAAGGAACCCAGAGTGTGATTGAAGCACAACAGGCCACTGCTGAATATAAACGAGACTGCAGCCTCAAGAACCATAAAAAAAACTCCCTAACAATGTAAGCAATCAAAAATTGCTGAAACTAGCGTGAGCTCATTCGCCTCACCTCCCCCTCATTTGAGGGAGGAGGCAGACTGCTGAGGCAGGCAGGGAGGCAGCCCAGATCAGGTGGCTGTTGAAGCTAGCTTCAGGGAGCCAATGGGGCTCCCCACAGAAATGACAGGTGACTAGTTATGCTATAAAATGATACTCTTCAAGATGCTAGTGCTCTCTAGAGTGGAATACTGTTGCACAATAGCAGCCACTTTCAAAGCAGGAGAAATTTCTGACCTGGAATGTGTGAAGGGCAGGATGTGCAGAATACCCGTGTTTTAAAATGCAGAGGTACAATAGGTACTCAAAGAGAACTCAACATCAGAGGCCCGAGACACTTCAACACGCTTTCACCACACATAAGGGGTATAACTGGCCGACCCCTCACAGTGTTCGAGAGAACTCTCTGAACACCTTCAAAGGATATCTGATCAACCAGGCAGTGATTCATACATCAGGCCGCAAGCACCCACATCCAATAGCCTGGTTGACCAGTCCAGCAATGAGGAGGCCTGGTCGAGGACCAGGCCACAGGTATGTTGAGTCCCGAAATCCTCAAGGAAACCGCAAGGTAACCTCTCCCTGCGCCTCTCTAGAGGAAGCCAAGTTCTGGTTCATGGTCCGTGGTAGGCCAAATAGAATGAGACTGATGGCACCTTGTAGTTTGGCACTATCAGCATAGTAGCTTCATAGAGCCACTGGGGCTTTCTCCCAGAAAGTATAGAAAGTTTAGAAACAAGACCAAGAAATTTATTATATATTGCAACTACATTTTAATGGCTAAAAACCTTTCACAGAATTTCAACGGAGAAGAAATAAAGTGCAAAAAACATAGGTAGTATTAATCAATGCTGGAGAACTTACAGTGTCAAAGAACTCGGTGAACTTGGAGAAGTAGTACCACCATGATGCGTGAGTCATCTAAAGTGAGAAGACGTGTCAATAAAAGTATATAATTAAATTTACATTGAAAATTTATTATTTAATTTAGTTACTTTAGAAAAGTACAAATATATGGAAGACTAATAATTTAACCATTTACTCTGGTAAAGTGTTCTATACAGTTAAGAATGCTATACAAATTATATGGATATATTATGCTACTGCTGATATATCTTATTACTAAAATCCTGTTACAAGCTCATAACATTTACTCTAATTACTTCATACTTTTCACACTTGTTTGAAATTCAACAACTTTAGGAACTAAAAAAAAAAAAAAAAAAAAAAAAAGTATATTGGTATACAAAAATATACATTTGTAAAAAAACGTACTGGTATACTGTAATAGTATTGTTCAGATAAATATGAACAGACTTACCTTAATTACTGGGCCATGGTACTGTCAAGTCATTACTATGAAGTCTATGCTGCCCTATCATAAAAATTGAGCCAAACAATGTACAGTAACTAAAAGCAGACTACAAATAATTGTACACAATTCTTGGTACAATTAGTCAAACTGGCATATCCATCAACCAATATTAAAGTTGGGCTGTGTAGTGTACACAATATAATTACTCTAGTATCCTCTAATATGTAACTATAGTGTAATAAATACAGAACCACATTACCTTCATGTGACCGCCTCATAAAACCGTGTTAGCTGGGTGTAATCATGCTATAAAAGCCAGTGTGAAGACAATACTAAGTGAGACACGAGGACAGTGAAGCAAGGAGGGTACTAAATGGTTTGTGTTGCTACATTAGAACATGTTAAATCTAACATTGGTACCGTCGTCACGTCACGTCAAAGACTGTCCCCCCTCTCTCAACCAGTTTAAGAAGAAAAACCAAACACCCCCTAATAAACTCCATGTAACCTACCTTACCCCCCTAAATGTCAACTCATGTCTTGCTATTTTCAAACAATGTTGCTTATTGACCAACTTGATAAACTGCTGATATCTGCCATGTATAAACTTGAAGAAAATTGTAGTCTTCTGTTTACTGTATTTAGTTAAAATTCCTTCTGCTGTTCTGTTTAAATTTCTGCTGTTCCATCCTCATGTAATCAGTATAATCCTTTTCTCTTTTTTGTTCCTCCCTTTTTCAATACTGTACAATTTATGCTTTGATCTCAACTAGTTTAAAGTTTTAGTCTAAGTTTTTTCCAAATCTTGCCCGAAACGCTGTACGTATTTGTGGCTTTAGGCATAGTATATACTAGCTCTTTTTAGAAATCTAACATTCTGTTTGTAACTCCATTTGTATGTATGTACTTTTACCTGAATAAACATTTATTATTTATTTATTTATATAAAAGCCTAAAATAATTACCAAGGAGAAGTTATGCAATTCAGTATTCTTAAAAACTATCAGTATTTACATTTCCTGAATTTATTTCCAAGAGATCCCTCCCTTCCCAACAACCAACCGAGTGTACCACAACACCAAGAAAAATCCTTCATGAAATAATTTGACGTTCAAACTTGTGATCTTCATCTTCAGAAAATGGTCTATTAATATATATTTTTATTTGTCTGGTAACGTAAACTGTTAGAACAAATGCAAACAAATATTAGCGAAGCCGGGGCTAGGGTTGCAATTTCAAAAAATTCTCTGTCCTTGCTTCATAGTCTTCCTAGTCTATCGTTTTTAACCACTTAACTGCGCCGCATTATAATATGATACCCCCATGGTGCGCTAGAAAAAAATGCTTTCCAACAAATTATTTTCTCCTCGTATATTGTTAAAATGGAGCCGAGAAGGCGAGCTTCTCGAGTTTGTTCACCTTACTGACAACCATGCTCAACAGTAATAACATGTATATGGTAAAATCAGGCAATACACCATCTATGCTTATGTTTAGTCTTGCTGTTTTGACAAAATAACTAACAACATTTGGCAAAAGCATTCAGAGCCCCAACATTGCCTCATGCTGCTTCAGAAAGACTGGCGTTCAACGATGCCATGTTGCTACACAATAAGAGTGCTTACCACCTTTGGGAAGCTGTACAAAAAGCCAATGTGAACACTATGTAACACACACAGCCAAAGGTACACAAGATGGTACATATACAGTATAATGAAGTGTAGTACGGCCCTGTGTTACATGAACTGCTTCACTATCACACCCTCCAGAACTACCGAATGCTACGTATTTGAGCATAAACACTTAAATATTTAGCGAGCGAGTGGACATAAGTAAAATATGTCTTGTGGTGTAGTGGTTAAGACGCTCGCCTAGCGTTTCGCGAGCGCTTTATCTTGGGTTCGTATCCTGACCAGAGAGGATTTACTGGGTGCAAATCCTTAAGTGTAGCCTTTGTTTAATTTAACAGTAAAAATGGGTACTTTGTTGTTAAACAATTTTTTACGGGGTTGTATTCCAGGGAACATAGGATTAAGGACTTGCCCGAAATGCTACGAATACTAGTAGCTGTACAAGAACATAAGAACTTTTGTATATATATATAAATAAATAAAATAAATTATTATTTGTTATGAAATTTACTGTAAAACAAGATATATTGGTGTGCATGTTAAGCATCACATAATTGTGAGTAGCGATGTTCCGCACGTTTTATTATACGAGTATGTACATCAAGTGACAACAGTGAACAATGTATAGAAAAATGTTTGAACAAAATGTAAAATATGATGTAAACAAATAAGATATCCATTCAGAGCATCTCCCGGTATTTGAGCAGCCCGCACAACCTCCCTGGGACGCTTGCTGCTTGAGCAAGCACATCGTGCTGACATCATAGGCACCTGTCAGCCCTGCTACAGCCATGGTAAGTGAATTTGAATTTATTTATTTGTCCCGTGATGAGGGAAACATTTTAATATTTAAGATTTTTTTTCCTACACAAGGGTTTACTAATTAAATTAACTTAATGTGCATGGAAGAATCCTTTGCACAGCCAAAAGGTACATTTAATATTCTACTGCTAGTACTGTACTACTATGTTTTAGGTAATAGTGTAACAAATGGAATTTTTTCTAAATATTCGCAAAGTTAGACTAATTGTGAAATTCGTAACTACCCAAGTGTAGTTACAGGATGAGAGCTATGCTCATGGTGTCCCGTTTCCCCAGCACTGTCATACCTGTATAACGTTTTGAAACTGCTGACAGTTTTGGCCTCCACAACCTTCTCACTAAACTTTTTCCAACCATCTACCACTGTTTACAAGTGAATTTTCTTGCATTTCTTTGGCAGCTTTGTCTAGTTGGTTTAAATCTATGGCCTCTTGTTCTTGAAGTTCCAGGTCTCGGGAATTCTTCCTAATCGATTTTATTGATTCCCATTTCTATTTAGTATGTAGTGATAATATCTCCTTTCTTCTATCTTCTAGTTTTGGCATATTTAATGCCTCTAACCTCTCCTTGTAGCTCTTGTCCTTCAGTTCTGGGAGCCATATAGTTGCTAGTTACATGTCTTTGCACCTTTTCCAGTTTGTTGATGTGCTTTGGACACTGGACTGAGACAAATTTTGAAAATTCAATAAAACTTGTCTGATGTGTACAGTCCCTCCATGATAACCTTCTATGGCAGGATGTGCAGAATACCCCCCCTTTAAGAGCAGAGGTGCAACAGGTACTCAGAGAGAACTATCAACATCAGAGGCCCGAGACTGTTCAACACGCTTCCACTACACATAAGGGGCATAACTGGCCGACCCCTCACAGTGTTCAAGAGAGAACTGGATAAACATCTCCAAAGGATACCTGATCAACCAGGCTGTGACTCATATGTCAGGCTGCGAGCAGCCGCGTCCAACAGCCTGGTTGACCAGTCCAGCAACGAGGAGGCCTGGTCGACGACCGGGCCACGGGGTCGCTGAGCCCCGGAATCACCTCAAGATAACCTCAAGGCAAGGTAGCCCATTTTATTAAAAAAAAAATTAAGCTTATGATAAGTTGGTTTGAGTTTTAAGAGAAAATACAATTTTTTTGTATTTAACACGAGGATTTTTAAACCTTTTGATTTAAATCTTCTCTAGTTAAATCAAACAACCCTGATTACTAACAAAATATATATATACAACATATACAGTATATATATATATATTTTATGCTTCATAATTATCATTAGAACATACATCCAGGAAAAGTCTGAACGTTTTACTAAACACCACACCAATATAGACAAAGAGGTCTTACAACAAAATTAAAAACTTAATGAATGCCATTATTGAGAGTTTTCCTACGAGTGTTAGAATACCTGACAGCAGTGTCACGATAATGTGCCTGAAAAGTAAGTAAATACCCAACCCATAGATCTGAAAATAAATGAAATTAAAAAGCTTCAGTCTATAATGGACCAGTGTAACAGCTGTTAAATTGTCCAGGAAAAACCAAAACATTGTCATTTCCTTTATTTTCAGGCGTGTGGTTTGGGCGCTTAATTACCTATAAAGTTTAATTGTGCTACAGTATAATGACCATTGCTTAAACCTCAAAATTTGTATTAGACAATGCTTTGAACAACACAGTAGCAATGAATAATACATAGTGTTCACCGACTGGTTGATCAATGAAGTTTAACCCTTAAACGGCGCAAATGCCACTACCACAAGAGGTGGCACGGGCCTGAGTTGCCCGTAGGTGGTATAGATGTTTGGAGTGAATGTGATATTTGGTTGTGTACCATCTTGAAATGTCTCTAGGCCTGTTCCAGTGTTTGCCTTTAATTCATTATATTATAAAAGTTGTCCATAAATTGTCTATCAATTTCATATACAGTATATTTAATTTTTACATAATATCCTACCCATTTAGGTGGTAAACTATATAGCTTGACCAGAGTTACAAGCAATGATAATACTTTACACACATAATGTGCGCATTAAACAATCATTTTTGTTAGCCATATTAAAAACTCTGCCTATACATCACCTTTCCTAGCTTTATGGGGAAAAGGGAGGACAGCAATCAAGATTACCAGAACCTTACCCTGATGGCCATGGGATTTTGGGAGTAGTCGACTGGCTGGCAACGGTAGGAGTACCCACGGAACCATCCGCCCATGCCAAACTGGAACCAAACAACATGATGCATGCGCTAAAAATGTTTGCTGCTTTACCCTTTACACCTTAACACCCATCCCAAATAGATGGAAAACACAACCATCAGAGAAAGATATTAATGAGAAATTCAATAATTCTTGGGATACTGTATTACATTAATAAGAAATAGAATGGAAAAAAAGAGCAAACAAGGTAGGCATGTTTAAAGACAAGATTTATACTGGTGATGTATTCTAGCACATAAATATATATAGTGCTGTTTTCAGGGGAAAAGTGAAGCAGCACAAAAAAATATATACACACAATGATATACTCAAACTTAAGCTTTGTTAATTGATGCAGAATGTACTGTGGAACTCGAGTGACAAGCGGCTCCAGTTACGAGCATTTCAAGTAACGAGCAAGCCACTCGCAGACAATATGTCTCGACTGATGAGCTTTCGCTCTATTAATGAGCATTCCTGCTGGTTCTCAGACACCTACGACGACAGTTTCGTTGTTATTTTGCAAGATGAGTTTTCCACATGACGAGCTTGGTGCCAGAACGCATTAAACTCGTTAATCGAGGCACCACTATGTATTTCCAAAGTCAAAGGAACTGGCAGAATAACTATGCCTATCACAAATTACTTTTCAGAAAATCTCTGAACTAAGGGATTTAGTTCAGGAACTAAAGGAACAAACTCCTAGATTTAAAATGAAATATGCAAATGTCACCTCTATTTAATAAAAAAAAAAAAAAGGGGGGAAAGAAGAAGAAGAAGAAGAAGGAGGAGAGCTCAGCAGAAAACTACCATCTGATCAGCTTGACATCACACTTCTGCAAGCTCAAGTAGACTCCTATGGGAGGGAATCATTCACCATCTTTATTCTTTGGAGGCGTTTGTCAAGTTCTCTCTCGAACACATTGAGAGGCCGACTAGTTATGCTCCTTGTATGTAGCAGGAGAGTGTGTTGATCAGTCTTGGGCCTTTAATGTTTATAACAGTTCTCCCTCAGCACCTCCTCTTTTCAACCTGCGTTTTGTTGGTCTTCCGTGGTACCTACAGCCATGTCATAGTAATCTAGCAATTGTGAGAGGCATGAGCATCCTGTTCTGTACCCATGTTGTCCGGGGTTATGTAGATGCTGTGATTCCATGTGATTTGTAATCTTACTTCTCGGCACTCTTTCAAAAAAAATTTTTGAAGTTAGAGCAACTAGTCTAATTTTTTGCATTTGCTTTACTACCGCCTTTGTGAAATGGCACAATCTCCACTATTTTAAGTATATTGAGGATGACACCAGTAACTGGGCCGGTCTCCAGAAGTTTACAGCATGTGATAGTGGTGTTTTGCACTTCTTGAAGAACATAAGAGTAAGTCCTGTGCAGAGTGCATGGGTATGCTGACAATGGCCACTTCAAAGTCCAATGGGGCTAGTGTCACATCTGATATTTTATGAGGCATTCTGGTACTATGCATTTAGTGCCATCTACATTTTAAATTTAATAATATTAGAGTTGCCATCGCCATCTATGCTTAAATTTGATACTACTGCATTAATGCAGTAAAGTATTCTTAGCACCATCCCATGTTTTGAATTTGTAACTACACACCATGTTTTCATTGCCATCTATGCTTTGAAATCAGTATTACTCATACTGTAGTACACAGTTTTCAGCACCATCTACATTCTGATTCTGGTACTACTAACATAAAACGATTACAGTACTGAACCTGATTTTACCCGAGGGCCACTAATCCTAGTGGCCTTGAGGACAAAGTCGGCAGCTTGTCAAAGGTCTCCCCATTTACCGTTATAATCTTCTCCAGGTAGATTGTAAAATTTAACATTTTGGCATTTACGACTTCAGTGGCTAGGCAGTTCCATGGGTTAATAACCCTGTGGGTGAAAATGTATCTCCTGTTCTCAGCCCTACATTGTGGCTTGTTGAGCTTGAAATCATTGCTCCTTGTTTGTGTTACATCTGACCAAAATACTATCACTTCAAGATGATCTAAATAGAGTTTTGAAATGGCTAAAGTATTGGCAGATGCAGCTTAATGTTGACAAATTTAAGGTTTTAGGCTAGATAATGACGATAGTTACAAAATACGAGCTAGATGGTGTCAAGATTGTGAAGTTGGACTGTGAAAGGGATCTGGGAGTTATTAGTAAAAATTAAAAAAAAAAAAAAAAAAAAAAAAAAAATCACTACACAAATGTTCGTAATTAGGTAAATAGGACACGGATTTATTTCTTGAAGTGTTGATAATAAAACGCTTGGCGTTTTCAGCTATATCGTGCTCTTGTTAGGCCCCATTTAGATTATGCAGTTCAGTTTTGGTCGCCATACTATAGGATGGGTATAAATTCACTAGAACGGATCCAGTGTAGGATGACAAAGTTAATCCCACCAATTAGAAACCTGTCATATGAAGAGTGACAAAACTTAATTTACATTCTCTAGAAAGACGAAGAATTAGGGGCGACCGAGGTGTACAAGTGGATGAATGTGCATAACAAAGGTGATATTAATAGGGTATTAAAAGTATCAACACAAAATAGAACACAAAACAATGGGTATAAATCAGATAAGTTTCGATTAGGAAAGACTTGGCTAAATACAGGTTAGGGAACGGGTATTATTTGTGGAACCAATTACCGTGTACCATAATAGAAGTAGGATCCCTTTATTGTTTCAACCGTAGGTTAGACATATATGAAAGATTGGGTGTATATAAATAGGAGCAGCCTCGTATGGGCCAGTAGGCCTTCTGCAGTTACCTTCATTCTTGTTTTATGTTCTGCTATTTGTTTTCTTCACCTATAAAAGGTGTAATTTTTGTTCCAGTTTGCATCTTATCTTTTTTTCTTAGTGGTATGTGCCTTCTACATATTTCTAGTGCTACTGTGCATTTTCTTCCTAGACACTGTCCCTAGATAAGTAAATTAAGTACAACTATATGACCAGTAATAGCCTAAGGGCACGGCCAAACTTACATATAATATGTATATTATGGATATTAAAGGGCCAGGCCATGACTGACACTACCATTTCATGTAGGTTTTTGTAGTCATATCACATTACCTCACATTGATGCAATCTAAATCATGCTAACCTTAAATATTTACTTTTCAGAATATTTAATAGTTTATCTATCACAAAACATGGCAACAAGAAACACACATAGCAGACCCAACACAAGATTAGTGGTTATTTATTGAAGAGGGAAAATAAACGAGAAAACCGAGAAAAAAAAATGTTAAGAGGGGGAAGGATAAAATGAGGAGGGGGGTGCAAGAAGTGGTTTAGTATGCACGAGACCACTGCCACAATTAACTACCACGATCTACCTGCCCTATTTATATTCTGTACACGTGACAAAATAAGTTTGGCCAAGTATACCAGTTAGTAATTTATTTTGGGAAAGTAAAAGCATGCTTTGCTATTACATAAACTACCAAAATCAACACACACAATTCAACCAAATGTTTTACACTGTAATGTATCTAAAATTTTTAGAAGGAATGCTCATGCTCGTGTGCCTTTACCTGGGCTCTTGTTTCTTCTAAAGTGCATGAAGAGTTGGATGTAACGGGTGGTCTGAACTCGAGTGATACCAAAAATATTACAAAAAACCTTCAATTACCCACCTACCTAGTTATCACGCTTACCAATCGTTTGACAAACATGTCTTAATATATGCATCAGGATCTGACACGGCAAAAGTTAAACCACTTACACGGATGGCAGAGGGATTGTCCGAATAATCAACAGGTTGACAGCGCAATGAATAATGAGTGAACCATCCACCCATTCCAATCTGTAACCAACCGCAGTACAATTGGTGCAAGCGGTACATAATTAGAATGGCTCATCAATATCAGCATCACATGATTAGACTAAAAATATTAGAAAAATGAGGGATACAATATTATATACAGGACTAGCATTCCCACAAAAAAGCTGCACAAATCCAAAACAGGCATATTTTATTGTTACTGAAGTTCCATGTAAAAATACTGCACATGCAACATAACCTTAAGGTTAATGTATCAGTACGTGCTAATTTATTTTTTCAGTAACTCCAAACAATAACAAATTCCTTATCACTTGACATTAATGGGCAAACCTAATCTATAGGTCATCAAAAATATTAACCAACTTGTAAATTGCACTTGTTAATTAATAGTATCAACAAATAATCATGATTATTTGACATGATGATGAAGGAAGAATACAAACGTAACAGTGAGGGATAACTGTTTTAGCATTACTTGCACTAATAATGTACATCAAGTACATGGCCCCGGGTCTCTTGCCACACAACACAAAAATTACATTTCTATTATTTAACTTTGAATTCAATCTTACTAACATTAACAAAATCAAAATCATGAAATTCACTAGCATCTAGTTTTTAAAATACAAAATAATATAAATAGATTTAGTAAGTTACACTCTTAGAGAAATCATTTCTACTCGAGCAGCAAAGTCGAACACTCCTTCATATTCTCCAACATTGGCCTCGATTCTTTTTGGACCATTTAAATATTATATCTGTAAGCTTATGTGTCACAACAGCAACACTTCCTACAAGTTCTAGTACATTAATAGAAAATTGTATTAATAAATAATAACATACAGTAATAAAAATATATTCCATCTGACATTACTCAGAGATACAGTACTTCTATTCAATCCTACCTAAGGAATTGTCAAGAACCAACAAACAAATGTTCTTAACCATGTTAATAATATCAAGTATAATATTTCTAAATGAGTCCTATACTCGCCAGTTATACATGTTAAAAATATTCCAAGATCATAAATAGGATAGGACCAACCGGGCTGTCATGGATATGTGGGCCTGCAGGCCGCTCCAAGCAACAGCATGTTGGACCAAGCTCTCACAAGTCAAGCCTGGCCTTGGGCCGGGCTTGGAGAGTAGAACAACTCCCAGAACCGCATCAAGGTACAAGATTCGAGTACAGTATTCAGTATTTCTAAACGAGTCCTGTACAGTACTTGAAAGTTTCTTCAACAAAAATGTAAGAGTTCTTGGTTCCATGTAATGCTATATTTAAATAAGCATAAAGTTATGAAAAATATAGTCTTATTTCTTAATATTTTTGGAATACATTACATAGTGAAATGGGGAAAAAAAATTAAGTGGAGTAAATTAAAAAAGTTGATTACTCGTTATCATTATAGTGCATGATAACTACTGTATTAAAATACTAAGCATCGACTGATTATACATTTTCCCCACAACACTGATTCGAAATAAACCCCCAATGAAAACCAGTCTAGCTTAAAGGCAGGTTTTCCTTGTTACGTGTTAAAACCAATCAGACGCCCCCTTGCCTACTACTTGCCAGTCTTCTATTGTAGACCCTTTGATATATTGTACCTATATGGCTCGCAACATGAACACAGTGTTCGAGTGCCGAATTGTTTGAGTGGGGGGGCCTGTTCGAGTACTGAGGTTTCACTGTACTAGAACTTGGCTCGACTCCGACCACCTATTCTTGAGGCTGCAGGCTTAAAAATTTCCTGTCAAGTCTTGTAGATTCCTACTACTATTTTGTAAGCAGTGATCACATTGCTGCTGCTTCTACTTTCTAGCTTTGGCATATTTACCACCAAGAGCCTCTCCTCTCAGTTTTTTTTTTTTTTTTTAAATCAGTTGAGGAAACCATTTAGTAGCATGTCTTTGCATCTTTTCTAATTCACTGATGTGCTTTTGAGATATGGGCACCATACAACCACTGCATATTGCTAATTTTTGGCTTGTAAAAGTTGTGAAATAAATTTCTTGAAATGTCATCGTCCATGTACTGTATTTAAAACCAATTCTAAAGCTGGAAAATGTAGCATAGGCTCATCATACTGTACAATGACTTAAGTGGTCCACGTGTGACAGTTTATTATCCAGAACCACCACCAGACCTCTGTCAAGAGTTCTTTAATGACTTTTCACGTACTTTCCAGATTTTGGAATCTCTTATTCCACATTCCCATAATGTGGCATTTATTCACAATGAATTCCTTCTGACAAATGTGGCTCCATACACAAGTCATCTTGAAGGGCACGAGACTCCTCCTAGTTCCTTACCTTACCTCGGAGCTTGGCATCATCAGCAAACATGTTCACATAATTCTGTATCCCCTTTGATAGAGACAATGAACATTACTGGTGCTAGAACTAAACCCTAGGATACTCCAGTAGCAACATTTCTCCACTCTGCCTCTGAATACTCCCCTCATTTTTGTCAATATTTTTCATCCATGTCAGAAGTCTCCCTGCCACCCCTCCAGTATGTTCTTATTTCCAGAACCTCTTATGCGAGACTGCCAAAAAACCTTTCCTGCAAAAGGTCTGTGGCTCGATCGTAGAAACTCAGTAGATTTGTTACACAGGCTCTTCCCGTTACAAAACCATACTGTGTCTTGTATCTTCTCTCTCCAGGTGTTGTGTCTGTCTGGTTTTTATTTTTTTTTAGTGTTACGATTACCACATCTGTCAATGATCGCAGGTCTATAATTAAGAGGGCATTCCCTACTATCATTTTTGCAAATTAGAATGTTTGCCTTTTTCCATATATCTGCCAAGACTCCTGTACACAAAGATGACTAAAAAATTAATTGAAGTTGAGTACTGAGCTCAGATGCCCATTCTCTCAGACCCCAAGGTGAAACTCCAGCTGGGCCAACTGTTTTGTTCCATCTTGGCTCAAACATTTTTCCCAACTTTGTCTATTGACACCTATGAACTCTTATGTTATTCTTCAATATTTATATTGTGTCTGGTTCTCTGAAAACAATTTTGCACAAGCACACTTTGGAACTTTTCATTTAGTGTTTCACACGTTTCCTTTTTTATTCTCCATAATTCTGTTCCCTGTTTTCAACCTCTGAATATTATCTTATATCTGTAATTTACTTTTAATGAATTTATGGAATAGGCCCAATTCCATTTTATACTTGCTACCCCTTCCTCAAAATTTCTTTCTGCCTCTCCTCTCTTCTCACTACCGTATAGTTTTTTTTTTTTTCTTGCATTGCTGGTATGTTTGAGGGGTTTGACCACCTCTTATACCGATCCATATTGTCTTTCGTTCTCTGGTCCTCTGAATTTATGATGAACCAATCCGTTTCTAATTTTGCATCTGTATTGATACAACTTCCCTTGTACCTTCATCATCTCTCTCTCTCTCTCTCTCAAAATTTGGCAAACATCTTCATCTACTGCCTTTCCTAATGATGAACCTTTTCAATCATATTCATTAAAGATCTTGCTAACTTCCCCATAGTGTCCTGTCTTGAAATAGGTTTTCCTCCATTTCCCTTCTTCCAATCTTTTCTAAATTATAATGCATTTCATATTTCCAAAAGAACATGTTCGCTCTTTCCCAATGAATGAACGGACGAAGGTACTAAAGGTCAAATGTCTTTGTAAATACCAAATTGAACAATCGCCACCACTTATTCTTGTGGACTGTTTTATATGTTGACACATGGAAAGACTTCAGGATGTTGTTTACAAATTGGCTGTGCTAAAAATCCTCTAATCTTGCTTTTTAGAGAGTTCATAGGCCAATGAACGCATGTGACTGATAGTTTGGAGCACTCTCAGCGAGATAGCTACAGGGAGCCACTGAGGCTAACAAGAGGTGGTAAAGTATTTCATTACATTCAACACTGGATTTATGTTCTTTGTATACATTTAAGAATAAAGTATTAATATTATTACTTTATTATTGAATACAATCTTGTGATCATTATTTAAACAATAATTAACAGCTTCAATGCCTATTGTCACAATTCAGGGATAGACTTTAACAACATAACACTGAAGCCATCCTCAATCAGGATTATATACCAATCTTCATTTGCTACACAAATGTTCACAACAGCTACTTTATAAAACAATGAATAGAACCTTAGTGAAAATTTTAAGACCACTGTTCTGTAGATCTTATAGGAAGAGATGCATTGGACACCCTGAGAGTTGAACCAGTAAACAAGATCACAACAGGCAAAAGGATCCCATTACAGTATTTAATATAAAACAATCAACCCTAGATTGCCTCTCCTGGTACCTGGGTGGAAATATTACTGCTGCTATTTTACAAATTTAATTTTCTGTTCATGGAAAAATAACTACAGTTTAATCAAAATAATCAAAATATTGCATATACTAAATAGGAACAATTTGGATTAATAAATGCTGCCCTACTAAAGCAGTACTGTAGCCAATTTAAATGTTAAAATGCTGGGTATGTAAAATAAAGTATTGTACAAGTCATCTCAAATTTTGGTTTACTTATAATGAATAGATACACTAGCAATGTTTCTTAACATTACTAAAAAATATCTAGGCATAATTAGATACTATACAAAGTATTCATTTTGCAATGTTTTTAAGAGAGACCTGTCAACCTGCATTACGAAGCATTTGTAGTAAAACAGAGCAGCATCAACAGAATAATCATGACTAAGATATCTTAATTATTGCTAGCTTCAAACCAATACCAAACAGTCAGAAGCAATAACCCAGGTATCTTATTTCTGCATGAAGGCTGGCTATGGGAAAAAAAAAAGTGAAGTAATCACCATTTACTTGCTTAAATCAATCTTAAATCATAACCTGGATTGCCTCATACATAATTGAAATAAACTGACCTCATAAAATATCCATGCAGAAAAGACCACTTGGAAGGCGTTGTAAGCTACAAGTATATTTCGTAGCTGGAATGGGGGTCGGTTTGTCATGTATTGTGGGCCTATCACTTTCACAATTAACACGTAGCTGACGCAGATGAAGAATGTGGGCCATGGCGAGTCCATGAATAACCAACCATCCACACGAGCATCTATAAAATATGAAAAGAAAAACATTTAATTAAATGTGTATTTATCCAAAACCAGTTTTATAACAAAATTATTTACGGCATATCAAGAGTCCAAATACCACACAAAACATTATCTAATCGCAGTGCTTGCACCCTGAGATACTTAGTGGGGTGTTAAATGCCATTCTTGTCAAGAATAATACCTTAATCTGAAACTTTAAACTCTAAAAGTAAAGTGAGAGCAACAGCTACTACAACAAGCTAACTCCACACTACTGTACACAGTCTGATCAAGCACTACTGCGTGTCTTATCTTATCCAGCAAACGTTAATCCTTGGTGTTAAGCAACGCTATCACACCGTAACTCCACAAAATACTGAGCCCTTTATCACAAGAATGATCACTGGAGTCTACAACAGAAGAGTAGACTCAGCCTCTGGTCCTAGACTAGTTAGGAATAAGTATTAAGTATGCACATAGTTGTTTAATTGGCCAATTGAATAGCAATGACTTAAATAATTTCCTATTTACAGCTGCTGGCCTTTACCCCATGGCATAATGAGCCAGTTCAGAACAAGGGCTATTAATAAATATTTTATCGTAATCCATTATCTGAACATGTTAAACAATAAATTCTATATCATATCTAATCCAGTATTAACCAAGTCAAACATTATTTGTTAAGATTATCCATTAATCTTTAGCAGAGTTATCAAGTAATAATATTTACTTCAAGATAACACATTTAATTATTCTTTAATATTTTGCTAATGATAACAATATTGTTATATTTACTTAACAATTAAACCCTACGGTAACTTACAATAACTATTTAAAGACCTAGGCTAGAGATGTTCAGCAAAATCAGGCACATTTTGTAAACTAGTGTGTTTATTTGCATTATATTCATTTTATATTACATTTGTCATTCTAATCCACCACACGTACAAAAGTATACATGTGGTAAAATCTCAACACGTACTTTGCAGTTTCTTCAAACAACAGCACACGATTGCCTACTGCAAGGAAGTCTTAAGGTTAAGACACTTGAGACAATGATCTTACAGTTCTATCAGCATACATTGAGGCTCCTTGGTTTGATCACAATCACAGCTAAGGATTCTATTATTTTATTGTAGTTGATTTTTAGTGCATGTTATATTTTTAAAAATTAATCTAGATCTTTACCACAGTGCCCATCATCCAGGGTAAGTCCATGTCCCCTCAGTCCTCCAGTGCCCATGAACCAGGTAGGGAGGCCCCCTTCCCTCAAGTGCCCATCATCCTAGTAAGGGGGAGGGATCCAGTGCCAATCATCCGGGTAGGGGCAGGCCGTCCAGCACCCATCATCCGGGTAGGGGCAGGCCCCAGGGCCCATCATCCGAGTAGGGGTAAGCCCCAACGCCCATCATCCGGGTAGGGGCAGGCCACAGCGCCCATCATCTGGGTAGTGGCTCCCCCCCAGTGTCCATTATCTGGGTAGTGCCCCCCTCCCCCAGTGTCCATCATCCGGGTAGTGGCCCCCCCCAGTGTCCATCATCCGGGTAGTGCCCCCCCCCCAGTGTCCATCATCCGGGTAGTGACCTTTCCCCCCCCCCCAGTGTCCATCATCCGGGTAGTGACCTTCCCCCCCCCCCCCCCAGTGTCCATCATCCGGGTAGTGACCTTCCCCCTTCCCCCAATGTCCATCATCCCTGACACCAAACGAAATATTGAATGAAGTATTTATCAATGTTAAGTGTGTTAGTTGGGTCCGTCTAATTACCGCAAGCTACCACAAGCTACATAAGCTCCATAAAGCTTCCTGGCAATACGTTAGTAATGAATAAATATGATAGGTTAGGCTGACCTGACCTAACTTGACCTAACCAACGCTTGGATCGTCGACTTTATTTGGCGTCACCAGCTCTCTATTTTCGTATCATTTCTTTATAAAAAGATACTTTTTAGATTAAAATTATGTTTTTTCGTGTTGTACATTCAGCACCAACATTATAATGAGTAAATATATCATATTTATTCATTGCTAACGTATTGCCAGGAAGCTTTGTGAAGCTTGTGGTAATTAGACGGACCGTGTTAGTTAGCCAAATATGGACTTTTTCAGTAATCACATTTAGAATAAGAAGGTTAAGACTGGAGAAAATGAAGATTGTCAGCAAATAGAATTGGCTTCAGGAGTTGAGTGACATATTGGAAGGTCATTGATGTAAATGAGGAAAAAAGAGAGTGGACTATGTATACTGCTCTGTGGAATGGTAATATGACTTGGCAGGGTGGAAGTTTAGGGGGCGCCTGACAGCTGGGTGGACAGCGCTTCGGACTCTTAGTCCTGAGGTTCCGGGTTCGATCCCCGGTGGAGGTGGAGACAAATGGGCAAAATGTTTCTTTCACCCTAATGCCCCTGTTACCTAGCAGTAAATAGGTACCTGGGAGTTAGACGGCTGCTACTAGATCGGGCTACTTCCTGGAGGGTGTGTAACAAAAAGGAGGCCTGGTCGAGGACGCTAAGCCCCGAAATCATTTCAAGATAACCTCAAGATCTCAAGTAGTAGTAACGTCGTTCACAGAGACATACTGGAGCCTGTCACTGAGGTACGATTGCAGGTAATGAAGCGAGTGCCGTCTGACTTCTGTTGTAGTTTGAGAAGGGTATTGTGGTTTAGTGTCACAAGCCTTACATATATCAGCATGTACTATTCAAATAAATGAAATACCGACGAAGAAAGTCCAGCATGCTACTAAAAGTGAGACAGGAGGAAATTAACAGACATTGTTCATTCCTACACAGCAGGTCAACACAGCTGGGAAAGGAGTGCAGCAGCAGCAACAGGCAGGCAGCAGCAGGTGCGTTGGACGGCGTGGATCGCGCGAGAGGATATTAACACTAAGGTTACAACTGCATCAGCCCTTGACCCTCGCCCACTGTGTGTGTGTGGGGGCAGGTGGGCGCTCCGCCACCCCTCCAACCATAACCTCAGTACTGCTACTCGCCCACATCCTCACACCTTTTAATTAACATGTTACAACTTCCTGCGAGTTACTATCGCCCACGGTTACTACCTACAGTTAGCAAACTGGTGATATTTGGCTAATATTTATGGTTAACCTTTCCTCCGCTGCCCACTGGTTAACGGGTATGCAGGAAATGCATATTAGTTATGACGCTAGCACTCCACACGTCAGTTGCTTAATTTAGCGACTACTTATGGTCAGCCTCGAACCCATTGTTGATGTGACTGTATGCAGTTTATTTTGTAACTAGCTCATTTAGGCTAACTTGCTTAGCTAAATCAATTGTGGGGTTCAGTTCCTGAGCCCATCATGTGCTTCTGTAACCTTTTCCACTACCGCTCACAGGATGGGTATAGGGTGCATAATAAATGAACCACAGGTGCATAATAAATGAACTAAACTAACCTAAGAGCGAGTCCCCTAAGCCTAAGTATGAGTATTCAGCACATATGGATATCTATAGATGAGCACTGTGTAGCATTCTTATACACAAACTCCGATGCTTCCACACATGTTTTGAGGTTCTGTTTAAGGTTATTTATTTTTGTATTATTCATTCACAATTTTTTTTTGGTAATTATTTATTGGGGTGGGAGTTCTGGTAAGTATTTCATCTGGGAATTATATACTGTGGGGCTGGGTTTTCATCAAGTAGATCGAGGCTCTTGGGCCACCAGCTGTGGGAGCGGAGCGTCTCATCTTGAAGTAATCTAACATTGGGTCTTCTAACATTTCGATGGTGTTCCACACCCTAATGGCTTGATGCTGTGATTTTTTTTTACACTACTTCCTTCATATAGCCTATGGCAGCTACACAAATGCAGATGTACCAAAATGTTTTTGATAATAAAAATGGCTTGATGCTGTGATTTTTTTTATTACATATTCCTTCATATATATAGCTATAGATATACCAAAATGTTTATATATATATATATATATATATATATATATATATATATATATATATATATATATATATATATATATATATATATATATATATAACAGCAGAGCAACACTACTTACCTCTCCTGTTTGTAAAGAGGTCGTGATACCCGTCCACCACCGTCTCTATGAGGCTTCCCATTTTCAGCTCTGAAACAACAAAAACTGTCAAACAACTGCAATGCAATATCATTAAATGTCTTTCAATAAACACCTGGTTATTGCTGGCAACACTGTCTTATTGAGTGTTGGGGGTAAGTGGTAATCAAAGTTATCTTGTACCGGTATTATTTTATGTGATCTGAAGTGAAAGGTATTAAGAGATTTTATTGTAGTTATTAAATCTGGCGTGACAGTCTGGATTGGAGGCAAAGTAAAGTGTCGTTAGGCTACAGAAAAATAGGGGACAGTTGAAATTAAGTACTTCACATCGAGAGATTAAATATAACATCAATTTAATTACCAACAAAATCATTTAAAAGCAAACTCCACTACACACACTCCAAATAATGAAATATCATTAATCGCACATTAATAGTTGTAACGATAAATTCATTAACAATTAACTGTACAGTGATGGTCATCAGTCAACCATGTCATTATCTTCAGTATGCCTTTGCGGTCAGAAAAAAAAATAAGAGCGAGTATCGTACAATAATTTAAAATCAAGACATGGTCAACCCCCAAGTCTAATAGGAATGTTTATCGTGGCAATGCTGTGTTGAAGCCAAAATCACTGTACAAAATAATTTTGTAACTTGCGTCAAAAATTGTTATATGCTTGGCTAAACGAACTAGAGGGTTCAGTTCCTGAACCGATTATGTGCCTTTGTAATCCTTTACACCACCACCCACGGGATGGGTATAGGGTGCATAATAAAGAAAAGAAATTGAATGTCTTTGTGGTGTAGATTTTACACCACCTATGTCGACTTATTCTTCTCGATAGCAAGTCGACAATAAAAACCCCGATCCCGAACAAATCCACAAGGGCCGTGACGAGGGTTCTAACCTACGTCCGAGAGGATCCCAGACGCTACCTTAATCGACTGAGCTATTCCCCGATCCTGACAGACCACTGGAAGATTATCTAACACAGTACGCAGTTACAAACCCAGTAAGATTTCAACTTAGATTCAACAGAGCAGAAGTTGTTAAACACATGGGGCAAAATCTTACTGAAGCGACCGTACGAGTCATAAATACTCGTACTCCGCCCAAGTAAGACAGAAACAAGCAACGCTTAGTGGGCCAGCCAGAGGCTTAGGGGCCCGCGCAGGAATTTCTCTGCAAAAGAAAAAAAAATACCACCGATACAATTTATTTGACGAATCACAAAATCAGTCGTCGTATACACAAAGATGATGACAATATATAGTTGGCGAGTTAATATTTACGTAAAATGAGTTGTCTGATATGTGATGATAATCTCATGACTGGTGAATGGATGAGGTCAGTATCATGACACGCCTGTTCCATGAGATATGTCACAAACAATCGACTGTGGTCAATAATCTTGCGATTGCCCAATCGTTATCTGTTCCCCCCCCACAGTTCCTCTGTTTAATACGATCGTGGTCAACCTGTATTAACTTTTTGCTCACATTTAAGTGAACTCTTGTCAGCTGATTTTAAAATGCAACAAAATATGAAGCTGAACTAGACCCAGATATTTTTAATCTACATAAATCATTCAAAGGCTTTAAGATGTTAGTATAAAAAATGGTGTTTAATTCTGATATCTATGTATATATGGCGAACATAAAACGTCCACCAGACAGAACGCCATAGTGGTCGCCAGGATTAGGTTAAGCCAGTGTCACCTGTGGCAGGTGGCCACAGGTAACGAATCTCCCTTTCCTCAGCACTCATTGTGTAAAGTGAGCACGAGTATATCGTCAAATCACAGGAGAGTTGAAGTCCGGGTATTTCATACCGGCAGCAGGTCTAAATGATCTAATGACTGGATAATGTGTGTGTGGTGTGCGTGATCACAACCCAAGTCTTTTTCGCATTGTTTACACATGAGGTCATCAGGAGTGGGAGATTCGTCACTAGCTTAAATGTCGGCCGTCTCAATAGCAAGATCGCCACACCCCTGTGGCGAGGGTCATCAAGCTGTTGACCTTGGTAAGGGGGGGGTTCTTTGGTCAGGCACCTCTAGCACCCCTAACACCTCTAACACGTGGTCCTCTGCCAGTATAATATTGCGTTACCAGGTTTAAATGAATTCTGATTTTGCCACGGAAGTCTAGTTTACTGGGCAGCGTCACTCCTGTGCGTGAACTCATCCCCCCACCACCCCATCCTGTCTCGTGGAGCAGCCGCATCTAACAGCCTGGTTGATCAGAGCAGCAACCAGGAGGCCTGGTCAGAGACCGCGCCGCGGGAACATTGATCCTCTAACTCTGCAACAGGTAGCAAGAAGTCTCCAACTTCTTGCTACAGACTTTCCATGTCTCTTCCTCACCAATCACTCCCTGCCAAGTCAATCGAAGGGTTTCAGTATCATGGTGTGAGGATTTATGTGGGGAATTCTGCCTTCAATATCTTTAACCGATATGCTCGTATGGCAAGTTTAATTATATTGACCTTCCTATCTGTATTCAGACTAATGAGCCTACTATCATTATAAGCGATCGTAATGCATATTGGTAACTCGTAGGTCAGTAATCATAAGAGCAACCAACTGTTGTCATTATTAGGTAGTCACAATGATGCACACCTCGAACCGAGACATATCTATAGAGGTATTCTTGATCTATGTCTGTGTCCACGTCTCCCCACACCGTGTGCGCCTCGTCAATAATGCCAGATATGGTGTCTGATCATCTGGCCATATTAGCCACTGTAAGCCTCGGAAGCTCTATCCTCCCCGGCGGAATGTTCAAGCGGAAGAGGCTGGCTGTGCCCATCGATCATCGAGACAATTATGTTGCTCAGGCGTCAGAATGGTACTATTCACTTGAACATTCTTTAGTTGTAGATTTTACAAATAACTCATAGGTACTATCCAACAGTTCATAGAATCACTTTATCCATCGTCCAGGCCACGTAACCAAAATTGCACTGTCATAACAATTTTGCCTATTATAATGATTCCAAATTACATGCACAAACAAATTACATAAGAACTGGACTAGCTTATAGGAGGACCCGCACTATTGATATACTTAAGCTCTTTCAAAGATCTCTGGCTGAGGCCATGGAACGTATGACAGAGCTGAGGCAGACAGTCCGGGGGAACTTGTCAGTGGTCTCTGTTCTCACACGCCACTAAGCCGGCCATGGAAGGATATCAACAAGATCGAAGGGCAAAAATGCTGCAGATCCCGCACACATTCCCGCAAATAAATTATTTTGCCTGTACCTCAGTCTCTTAACATTCTGTATCTTCCCCTTCAACTTTATCCTCCGACCCCGACGAATTGGTCTTTCCTCTTTAAGCTTGTACCCCTACCCGCCTTCTGTATGTGCCGACACCTCCCTCTTCTCACTACCCGTGATGGCCTTCTCTCCACCTACCTACCTCCACCACGTTCGCTCATTTTTTTTAAGTGAAGAAAATGCAGAGGCAGACGTTAAGGGAGAAGTTTAGACATAGGAAACATAGGAGTTATGATAGCAGGCGGGCTCTCTACCTCGATGGCAATGTATGTGTGCTTATAGCTAAAGTTACTGTATCTAGCATATAGATACTCCCATAGATACGTCTCCTGCTTTGACAGGGTAAGATAGTCACTATAGAAACTAGTGTGTTATTTAGCACTTAACCACTGAAGGTGATCAAGATGCTTTTACAAGCTCAAGTTACATCACGCATGTTACATACCTGATGTATACAAGATTGACTATATGATGCAGGTCCAGTATATCAAGTGTTCTAGTATTCAGATAGTATTGACAGTGTTCAGCATACCTCAGCCCAGGGTATGGGGGGGGGGGAAGTCAGTCAATATGGGACATTCTACAATATAATGTTCAATGGAGTGCATGCTTTCTTGTCCGCAAAGTTGACACATGGAGGAGGGACGAATCATTTGGGTTTTGAAAAACAGATTTAAGATCATATATAATTCAAGCGTTTTAAGTTTAAAGCAATACGAAAAGGCGTTTTCGAATTATTGAAAGAACATGAAATCATAAGGTTGGGTTGCTACTGAAAAAAACTATCAAGTAGCTATCTAGTGCTATCTTACCACTATTTATATTTGTACACAGCTCCCCATTACCCTTCGAATTAATAATATGCCCTATTTAGGTACCATCAAGGTCTTCGATGCATATTAAAAGATCATATTACAAGATCAGCAGTAAAGTCAGGTGAACTGAAAAGACTTAATAGATTCCTGGCGTTGCATCGAGCATTATGATACGAGGGGAAGTTCCCCGGGAGGAATGGTACCAGCTATGAAGGACGAGAGAGTTGTAGCGCGTGCACATACCCTCCGAGTACACTACAATAACCTCATTCCAACTACAATCGCTTTGCCAGTCCGCTGGGCACACTTGCAAATGGTACCCATGTGCAACATTAATGTTTCTGACTTTACCCGAGGGCCACTAACACTAGTGGCCTCGACGAAGCTGATGGCTTCCTGGTGGACCAAGCTCTCAAGTCAAGCCTGGCCCCGGACAGGGCTTGGTGGGAGGAGAAGAAGTCTCATAACCCAATCCAGGTACTCTCTGAGGCCTACCATAGTACATGCGAGTGCTATACTAGGTTTAAGAATAATCAAGTTTGGGTTTTTACCTTTATCCGGACTATTATAAAGTTATCAGTTTATGAACATAAACTACTTTTTTAGCGAACATTACGTTAATGTACGTTAATGATCTAAATAGGAGGATGGGTTGGCATCTCTGGCGAATTCTTTGCGAGATCACATACTCGTCAGGGTGACTCTCCGATAGCAGCTTCATCCATTTGGATTGGTCGGTACAGTGACTACCTCCCTTCATGCAGGTCGGCGTTCAATCCCCCCAACGCCCATCCAAAATCCTAATCACTTCCAAGTGCTACATAGCCGTGGTGCCTTGGCACTTTCTCCTGATAGTTCGCGTCCCTTGTGGTAGCAGCGTTCAACAGACGCTGATCTTAACTAGTACGCGCACGCGTTCTTTGCTTGCTTTCCTCCCCTCTACGAGTG